TTAGCTATCAAAGTTAGCATGAAGGAGGTATTTTTGTATTGCATTTGGAGTCACATATGTATAACTTCAAATTCGTCACATCAATGGAAAGGAATTATCAAAGTGTTTTGGTCTTGTTTGACGACATCATAGCTTTACTGTATACTGAACCATATGAATGTATACACCAGTGTAAATATAGTGTTTATCTTATTGTGTAAATAGAGATTTTTATCTTATTGTGTAAATAGAGATTTTTTATCTTATTGTGAAAATAGAGATTTTTATCTTATTGTGTAAATAGAGATTTTTTTTATCTTATTGTGTAAATAGAGATTTTTATCTTATTGTGTAAATATAGTGTTTATCTTATTGTGTATAAATAGAGATTTTTTATCTTATTGTGAAAATAGAGATTTTTATCTTATTGTGTAAATAGAGATTTTTATCTTGTTGTGTAAATAGAGATTTTTATCCAATATTTCTGTGTTAGTCACCATGCTACAGGGTAATGAAGTTTCTAAATCAAACTGCAATCTAATCTGAATACAGTGTGAAATAAACAACCAATTATCTGTTGTTATTAAATGTACAACAATTATTGAACTAGCACTTTCATATATATATATATAATCACGGACTTAGAGATATAGCCAGCTCAAGAGCACTAGAGTAAACTCCCTTTATACATCCCTGTATCACATTGTATGATCAAATTTTACATGTCTTGGGAGTTTTAAGCAAAATAAGAATGTAAGTAAAATAAGGCTAATTCAAATATCACATAGCATATTTGTTATTGGTTTGATCCTGAAAATAAAGGACATACATGTCTAAGATTTTCATCTGCAGTTTCATCTTACACAACAGTTGACATATATAATACACCTGCTTCGGTCCTCAACTTATACATATACGCAGGTCTTACCGACCAGATGATTGATGAATCAAATCGTTATAACTCAGAAACAAGGAACAGCCATTGGGTATAAATTTTGAGTGTATATATAATACATAACATTTGTACTAGCTTACTTCCAGACAAGATGAAAACTTAGTGTAAATAGAACACTGCCGCTACGTACGTACTACTGTATCATTGTGAATATATCTTGTATAAGGATCAAATCTTTGATCGTTATTTGTCTACTGCACCTGTCAATGATACATGTAACAGCTCCAATATTATATGTACTTTCTTCCACAACATAGTCCAGAAATTGTAAATAGAAAAAGAACAAGAAAATGCAGCAAAGCTGCTGGACACCAAATCATTTTTTTTTATGAAAATGACTAACTGACAGTCCAACACTTGAATTACTTAAATTATAATAATTTTATAAATTGTTAATGGCAGTAATTTTGCATTTAGCACTATTTTCACTCAATATTTGTCACACAGCACGCAACTTAGGTACATTTTTGAACGCATGTTTAAATTTTATTGATTAGGTAATAACGTCATCTTCTGAGAAAGAGAAGCAGCGATCGATTGTTACAAATATTTCTATTGACATTGTACCTCTGGATAAAATATCAACCTTCTTGGGTTGTTAAAACGTCAATCCTAGCTGCCGCCCACCACCTTGAATAATAGTTCTCAAGACTGTTACGAAGACACATTTTGCCACAATGCTGGTTTTTTGGTTGTTATGAAGTGAAATGAATAATTTGTATTGAACAGGAAATTAAGCATGAAATTGTCTATTTCTAACATTTTTCAAGTCACGCCACGCAAATATTGCTACATCAGAAAAGCGCGGGAATGTGAAGCATATTGTTTGGCGCCAAGTTCTTTAGACGTCATGCTTGATAACAATACAGAGGCCATTTTGAAAGGGTTTTTACTGCAATTTTGCCGTTCACTGCTATTATCTGGTAGGATTTCCAGATAAAAATGATATTAATAGTGTATAGTTATGTCAAAACAATAATGTATCCTGCAAAGGTGACACACAACCACTGGGGGGCTGAAAAAAGCATACCTTGTAATTTATAAACAGTTGTAATAACCTAGCTCAAGTCCATGATCTTTTAAGGAGGGTAGGGGAAGAGGTCAATCAATTCATGATCATGAGACTTTTAATTATAAGGATTGAACAGTATTTTTTCCATTTCATGCCGGTATGAAAGTAAATCTGTTACATGCATATTTTACAAGGTTCATGGTAAATATGTATGTAACTTGATTTGGATTCATACCGACATGAACATTGAACAAGAGATCCCAGAGGGATCTTGGGGCCCACCTTTGTACCATCTTCATTAGTTCTTTGTCAGTTCAATCTTTTCTCTTCTTTCCTCTAATCTGTTTGATCGAGTCATGTTAACAGTAAATGCACCTTGAGGTAACTTTTGATCTAAACTTAATACTGATGTGTATGAAAGCCAACCTTCAAAGTGAGTTTGTCATTTCACATACTTACAAGTACAGTACTTAATGTGAAAGAAACAGAATCGATCCTTGCAATATGAGAAAGATCTGTTTAGTTCTTCTTTTAATCTATTTCGGCCATGTTGTTTATCCAATCAGTCTCAAAAGTTGCCCTGCACAGCTAAGGACCAGGGGAACCTACAGATAAAATTTGAGAAAGATCCCTATGGTACTTCTCGAGAAATAGCGATAACAAACTTTCAATATCAAAATCCAAGATGGCTGCCTGTCGGCCATGTTCTTTGTCCGATCAGTCTCAATAGTTGCCCTGCACAGCTAAGGACCAAGGGGAACCTACATATAAAATTTGAGAAAGATCCCTCTGGTACTTCTTGAGAAATACCGATAACAAGAATTGTTTAAGGAGGGACCACGGACCACGGACGCAGGGTGATTTGAATTGCCCACCATCAGATGATGGTTGGCTAAAAATTGTTGTTCATTATGTTTATATATATTCAGATAATTCCTGATATTTTTCTATATTGAAGTGTCTGTGTTTTCAGTGCAAACCAAATTCCTGGAACAGCCTAATGTCAACAAAATGTTTGCTTCTAACGGTTGCCTCATGTTATTTGTGGTGGGAGGGGAATTAAGCTTCAAAATGATGCTGATGAAATTGCATTCATAGCTATTTGAATGCAATTTTTTCTGGTAATGCATACATGTACGTCATATAATAGAAGTATATCCAACCCAGTGTAAATGTAAATATAGACCTAAAGCAAATTTTACTGTAGATTGTGGGGAATGGGATAAAACGTGGCGGATTCAGGGGGAGACCACCTTGGTTGCTTCGAAAATAAAAAAAATCTTAAATAGCAGCTGGCGGCATACACCTGGTCACAGTGACACTAATTAGTCAGAATTATCTTGTGTATTGAAGCATAAGATGATACCATTACCGGCCCCCCCACCATTACCACAGACTTGGATAACAATTGAATTCTCTGCCATTACCAAAGACTAGAGCCCTTTTGATACGCATAACCAATTTCACACCTTTGTCGGCAACACAGGTCAGTTGTTATGACAACACAGAGAAAAGGAATGAAATCACACATATTGTTCTTCTAGTTCTATAGCTAAACTATTTATTTCAAAATAGTTAGATTAAACAAGGATGAATGATAATTTTATATAACCATGGACATATATAATCTAATTACGTGATGTAACCGATATATAGCTAGAAATTATGTGTTGACAAATAAAATTAAGTTATTTCTTTGAACAAAATGCTAATTGGCACATTTCATTTAAAACAGTACATTGTATTGTAACAGGTGAAAGAGAAATGCAACGGCCAGACTGGGGTTCTGCTACATTCATCCCTCCTTTTTTCTAAGTCTTCGCCCCCGAAGACATCTCCGTATAACAACGAAGGTTCGGGTATCCCTTTGCCAAGCGTACACCCAATGCTTGTAACAAGGGACTGAAGGAAGAAAAATGCAACAACAGACTCCAGTTCAAACTCGGAACCCTCTGAACTAAAGATGGAAGCTCTACCAATTGAGCTACCTGGTTGCTGACGATAGACCCAGTCCAGTTCCGCTGCAATACTATAGTCATTTTAACAATTTATTGAAATATCTAAAAGGTTAATATTCAGAATACATATTTGTGATTACTAGGTAGGTAACATTTTGGGTTGAGTGGGTCCACATTTAAAATCATTATGGTGATTTCCACTTACCACAGGTACTAGCTTATTTATATAGCCTTGTCTGCCAATACACCTATAGCTATATTATAATAATTATGTTATGGGTGACTACTGATAGACTGGGCTAGTACTTTTACACAATATTTTATATATTTAAGCATTGTACATAGCTACCAGAAATAGAAGAAGACTGATATAGGCAAAGCCTGTTGTCTTATTCTTTTGTCAATACTGTTCTAATATCTTTTTTAATGTTAACTTATATGTTTGTATTATATATGTATTGTCAATAAAAAAAATACTTTTGAAATTGAAAACTGGGCTAGTACTTGTGCCCCTACAAAAATCCTGCATTTGCACCTTGTGTTATTCTAATAAAAATATCACATTGGAGTTGCTTTCTTTTATCAGGGAATTAGATTATCGGGTCATATATGCTTTTATTAACAATGTCTTTTATGATTTATTTCATCATTGTAAGCAAAGATAAAATTAAGTTGACTGTGTCTGTGGGAAATACATTATAACCAATTGGAAGAGTACAATGAATTGAGATCTCTGTTTGAAAGTGAAAGATAACGCCAAAATATTGTATATGTGTTATCTGTAACATATGCTGGAAAAAAATAGGGTACAGGTAGCTATAGGTAGGTAACAAATTTTATTTTCAAAAGTAATTTTTCGATGGTTTATAGAGAAGAGGGATCTTGATTTTAACGCTTCTTTTTTTGAAAATTGCTTTAAAAAGTTTAGGATAGGTCTTAGGCACACAAAAAAATAGGGTAGGTAGGGTTACCCGAAACGCCAAATATGTTTTGTTTGGCCTTAACAATGGGACTTGCGCAAGTCTATTTGGTATCAAAAGTTTTAGGATCAGATCTAGAGTACACATGACATCATATGCACATGAGATATATTTACCTTGTAATAACAGTACTGTAAGTAGCTGTACGCAAGACGATTTTCAAAATTCTTCAATACATTTCTTGGAACTTTCTCGGGTCTTTCTCCAAAAATGTTCAATCTGCATCTTTTTACACAGTCCGACTCAAAAATGATTTGTTCATAAAACTTCAAAAAACCCAAACTATCCACTGTCTCTTTATCCAAACTCTCTGTGTCGCTTTTTTTGGAAGGCGTAAACTTGTTTCTACAGCTGATTCTGCAATCAAGAATAGTCTGTTTATAAAAATTGAAATCATCTTGTGCACGTTCCATATTCCGGACACATGCTTGCCAGTCCTCTTCTTCATAGGCAGTTATCCCTATTGTGAACAGTTTATCGAATGTCATCTGTGGATCATCTGATAAGCAGCTACCTAATTTCACCGAAGATAGGATAATCATAACACACACGGCCCAAGAAACATAGTTTACAAAACTTTTGCATCGTTCAACTGCCATCTTGAAACTTACACGTACCGGAGTTGTTTTTCTTGATTACAAGTGCTTCCGGCCTATTACCATGGGGGTTTTCTCGAAAGTCAATTGTGTGGCGATGAGGATTTTTTTATGATTTTAAATGTGGTGATGAACCAGAAATGCTGCATGTTTCTCATTTAAAATCATATCAAATGATAAAATATGATGAATGTATAGATTATTAAAAATCTCGATAACATGAAATGAATGGGTTAGTCTTGCACAAGTCCGATAGTTTACACAGTGGAGTTTACAATCTGATTAAAATCATCTGTTACATGGCTCCGCGTAAACCACGAACTTAGATAACAATCTAATTCCGTGTCTAATCTAATTCCGTGGTAATACGAAGTTACGAAGCCATGTAACAGATGATTTCAATCAGATAGTGGGGTTTATCGATTCAAATATTATAGGTACCTATTAGAATAATATTACATCAACATGATCGGCCGGCCGGTACGTACACATTTTTCAGTAAAATGCCATATATACGATGCATTAAGATATAGCGTTTGTCACTGAATTGATAAAAAAAACCCACTGACCATATTGATCGTAAAAAAAAGGAATAAAATATTATGAGCACTGACTTTAGTTGAAGGCAACAAAGTCCGCACAGAATTATGGTAAATCCGTACAACGGAACTTAAATTGTGTCTAATCCCATTTGTATTTTTGAAAATAAAAATATCTTTTAAATCAAATTAATGATACATCACGTGAAGCATTATACGACACCAAATTTCATGTCGTCGGCTAAAACCATACAATTGAAATGAATTTCAAAAAAGTATAGAATAAGAACAAAACCCTGGTAGTAATCTCGACGTCGTTATGAAGTTCGTTGCTTAAATAACGTCCCATATAAGGAAATAAAAATAACCTTGATTTAATAAATGATTTGTTTTAAACAAATATGAATTTCAATACTGTATGCAAATGTAACATTAATATATCTCTCAGTCCATCTATATATAAATATATAATTGACAGTTGAAAGGAGAAAAAAATGTCCGCACGTGTTTACAAGCTATGGAAAGAAATCCATATATGGGTAGGATGTTAAATCCGTACAACTTTTTGATCAATAGTTTTCAAAATTTCTGGATATAATTATTCCAACATGTTTTTTTGGAAAAGTAAGATTAACTGTTTGAATTTCATATATATGTTTGGCATTTATATTTATACAGTAAGTGCGAATTCGTTGACTGGTGTCAAACTCTGAACCTATCCAGAACTGCGGTTTGAATCCTGCAGAGTGCCGTACAACTCTCAACCAATCAAATAAATATAATGCCACGTGTAGGCTCGATTAATCATTGCAAAAAAAGCAGCGAAATAAGTACTTTTTCACTCGATATATAAGTAAATATAACCTTGTAAATTGACAAAAATATGATATAATTAAAATATAGCTTTATTTATATCAGTACGGACTTAAATGTGTTTGAAAAAAGTAAAATGGCAAACCAGTTCAATGAATATTTCACTGAGATTGCTGGTAAACTGACGTCTCAACTTGAACATGTTACGGCCTCTTTCCAGAAGTTGAAAGAGTATATATGTGATAAACTGAATGATAATATCAACTTTGTCATTCCCAATGTGTCTCATGATTTTGTAATTAAGTTTCTGAAAGGTTTGGACGAACATAAAGCTACTGGTGTTGATGATGTTAGTGCTAAGCTGTTAAAAATGGTTCATGCTGAAATAGCACCGTCACTTACCTATATTATAAACCTAAGTATCCGGTCTGGTAAATTTCCAACACGTTGGAAGATGGCAAGAGTTACCCCCCTTCATAAAAGTGGTAGTACTGCTGATGTTAGCAACTACAGGCCAATATCGGTTTTGCCAGTACTGTCTAAAATTATTGAGAAACATGTGCACAGTACTTTTTACAAAGATCTAACTGCTAATGATCTTATAGTATCATCGCAATCAGGTTTCCGTGAAAGTCACTCATGTGAAACTGCACTTTTGAATATTGTCAACTCCTGGGCAAAGAACATAGATGATGGTCTTAATACAGGAGTCCAATCTGATTAAAAGCATCTGTTACATGGCTTCGTCAACTTCGTACTACGCCTGAACATCGTTCAGGCGGAGCCATGTAACAGATGATTTTAATCAGATTGACAGGAGTCATACTTTTAGATTTTAAAAAGGCGTTTGATTTGGTTGACCATGATGTTTTACTTAGAACAATGGTTCTGTACGGAATCGAACAGAATTCATTGTCATGGTTTAAATCTTATCTTGGTAACAGGACTCAAGTAGTATCTCTTGCAGGTCATATGTCAGAAGGCCGTACAATTACACATGGTGTGCCTCAATTTTATTTTTCTATTTTCACTATCTTCAAATATTGCGGCAATTTGACTATCCAACGACTATTGTAACACGCAAATAATGTATAAACGTGTTCACGTGGACTTGAGAACTTGTTACAGCTGAATATGGACCTAAACTAAGGTGTTCAGAGTAGATGTACATGCTATATGGGTTATATCATACACTGTTTGACAGTACTACATACAAGTATATCATACACTGTATGACAGTCCTACATACAAGTATATCATACACTGTTTGATAGTCCTACATACAAGTATATCATACACTGTCTGACAGTCCTACATACAAGTATATCATACACTGTTTGACAGTCCTATATATAAATATATCGTACACTGTTTGACAGTCCTACATATAAGTATATCATACACTGTTTGATAGTCCTACATACAAGTATACCGTACATTGTTTGACAGTCCTACATATAAGTATATCGTACACTGTTTGACAGTCCTACATATAAGTATACCGTACACTGTTTGACAGTCCTACATATAAGTATATCGTACACTGTCTGACAGTCCTACATATAAGTATATCGTACACTGTTTGACAGTCCTACATACAAGTATATCGTACACTGTTTGATAGTCCTACATATAAGTATATCGTACACTGTTTGACAGTCCTACATCCAAGTATACCGTACACTGTTTGACAGTCCTACATCCAAGTATACTGTACACTGTTTGACAGTCCTACATATAAGTATATCGTACACTGTTTGACAGTCCTACATATAAGTATATCATACACAGTACTATGTAAATTGTATGCTATTTGACAGTATACTAAATAAAGTGTACGCTATTGACAGTATACTAAGTACATTGTATGCTATTTGACAGTATACTAATTACATTGTATGCTATTTGACAGTATGCTAAGTAAATTGTATGTTATTTGACAGTATACTAAGTAAATTGTATGCTATTTGACAGTAAACTAAGTAAATTGTATGCTATTTGACAGTTTACTAAGTAAATTGTATCTTATTTGACAGTATACTAAGTAAATAGTATGCTATCTGACAGTATACTAGGTAAATTGTATGCTATTTGACAGTATACTAAGTAAATTGTATGCTATTTGACAGTATACTAAATACATTGTATGCTTTTTGACAGTATACTAAGTACATTGTATGCTATTTGACAGTAAACTAGGTAAATTGTATGCTATTTGGCAGTATACTTAATAAAGTGTATGCTATTTGACAGTATGCTTAGTAAATTGTATGCTATTTGACAGTATACTAAGTACATTGTATGTTATTTGACAGTATACTAAGTAAATTGTATGCTATTTGACATGGTCATAAATTGTTGTTAACCGATTGAGAGGTTATTTGTCATTACCCTATCAATAAAGCATGGCGCCTCCAGCACAGTTGCAAATGAAGTGCAAATCCAGCACATATTCTAGTCTTACAGGGCCGCAGGGAGCCCGGTACATGTTTGAACAAACTGCGACACCTACCGACACTTATTTATATATATATATATATATATATTTTTAACGCCGGTATCATAGACACACAGGTTGTGTGATTATGTAGAGTAGAATATCCAGGAATAATTTCTGAGTACAATGGCAGTGTCAGATAGTGTTTGTCAACAATTATCCCTTTCCCAAATGATGTGTGCTATAGTGATGTTGTGGCTGACTACGGTTCCAGTATTACATGCAGATTCTAACGTGGACATCTTCAAAGAATATTCCAAGGGTAAAACTGCATATAGGAAAGAGAAGTGGATCTTGTGTGTTAAACATATTGGAACTACTATCAGTTTATATAATCGTTACAGACAAACACTGCTACAGTGTGCGATCAAATGTAAAAAGGAACATGCTCATTCGTATACAGACTTACGGGGTCAAAGCGAGTCTATGATAGAGTATATTGTGAAGGGGAATCTGCTATCGGAACGGGATTGCCTCCTCTCGTGTCAGGGATCTACCAGAGAACAGACGATGGATAGCAGTCACGAATCCAACTTTCCGAAAGATTTCGAACGCATGAAGCCGTACTACTACATACAGCACTGCTTAAATAAGGTAATAGTATTAAACATTGTAGTATTATGTTTAAAATGTAAATTAATGCTCGCTTTTTATTGAAATACTCGACATACTGTTAAGAAATAGAAATGCAGATAAAATACAATTAACAAGTCACAATGTGGAAAGGAACTAACAACATGGGCAGCTGAATAAATTGTTGCCGATAAAAAAACTTAATTTCCTTATTCGAAATCTAAAAGGTTAAAATGAAATTTCACACATACGGTAATTATTTATTTTCCGTTCTAACTTCCTATACTGGTACGTTTTATATTTTAGTACTGATTCATTTTTTTCTGGTAGTATACTGTACACGGATACAACTGTATGTGTATGACGTCAATAGTTGTGACAGTAACGTTGAACCGAATAACCAGACGACTTTATGAATACGCGGTTTATTGAACCTTACACTGCTTGTGTTATTGATGATCGTACACCATCTTAAAAAACTGACAGCTCCGTTAGCCTACAGTACATGTTAGCACAGAGCGACTCTGGGTGTATATCAAACATGTATTGTGCAGAAGTGGCCGGGTGAATGTTTTGTATTCATGTCATTTCAAATATAGACGTGTTCGTTTCTGATGTGTGATATCAATGTGAAATATAACGCACAATTCCTTAGACCGGTATGGCCTAAGATCAGTCTTATATATAGGCGCGGGCTGTGTTAACTACACTCAATCATATAATGTCGGGGACAGGACTATATAAATGTGACACTGTCATGATATATCTATCATCTAGCTAGTGTCTAATATATACTTACAGTTTACAGCCACAATAAACAATGTTTTACAATGGAAACGCACTCCGTTGTACTGCACCAAGGTCTCGGACTTCTACAACTTTACCAAATCATATTTTCATTTGTGTTAAAGATCATAAAAAATAGATAATTCAAATCAAATTTTGCCGTACTAAATTTTCATCGTATTCGTGGTGACAGAAAGACACGCAAAACTTGTGAGAAACTTTATTTTGCTAATAGATACAGGTAAGCATTTTCATTGCACCTAATAACAGGTGTTTAAACATTTTACTCCTGTATTTGTTTCATATTCATAAATTAGTGGCTTTTACGCACCTGCCCCTCTGTTTCAACAGTAGCTTAGACAATTTAGATTTCCCTCTTTTTGGCCCCTAGCATCAACGATGAGACGTAGAAAGACAAAACAGCTGTATGATGTAGAGTAATTCATTTCTGGCATACTACTACTACTACTACTAATAATAATAATAATTCGAGGTTCTTATATACCGCTTTATCTCGTAGGTCGTCTCAAAGCGGTTAACAAATCATTATCCGTGGTTATAGGGCCTTTGCAACCAGCCAATATCTTTCTCAACTCCCTGGGGAGCATACAGACGGTGCTGCCATTTCGGCGCTAACAGCTAGCATTCAACAATTCTAGCACTGCCCAACCACGTACTCATTTACAGCTGAGTAGACTGAAACAATCGGAGTAAAGTATCTGCTCAAGGATACAACACAGTGCTGTGACGTGACGCGAGTCGAACCCGCAACCCTGCGGTCACGAGCCCGGCGTCCTATCACTAGACTACCATGCCTGTATCTATAACCAAAGGTGCAGTCACCTAGCTACAATGTAGCTGTGTCGGCGTGTTACGTCCATCTTCCAAAATATAGTAATCGTTTAAGTAATACATTGATATAGAGAAATGTACTATTACATGAACATTTGTATCAATCGATTTCTAGTATACTGTATTTCTTTTGTTTATAAATATAAGCGTTACTATAATGCATTGTTCATTATTGTCAGCAATACACATATATGTATATGTGCTCTTGCTTAAATAGATATTGTATATAAACTCATATATTAGAACACTAAATGACCATCAGTTAAGCAATTGAACATCTGCTACCCAGCAAGACCTCATCAAATGTTTTTTCAAAGTTTAATGTGAAAGCAATTTCTTAGCAAGAATTTTAAGTTTCATTTTCCTACAACAAAATTAACTAAACGACCTTTTTCGTATACCGGGGTGACGTCTTCATAGCATTTTAAAATCTTTACTTAATATTGTTTCAATGAATCTGTTGGATGGCGTTACAATGTTTAATTACAGTTTCCGTTGTTTTTATTTGTTTCTATTTATTTGGTGAATTAAAGTTACTTAATTTGAATTCTGAATTGTAAACATGTGATACCTATAATTATAACAATGGGCACCTTCTATCTCGCTATCATTTTATACTAAGCGGGATCATTAAAACATAGGTAAATTCCATTTGTTGATCTGTTAATATGTAATCGACCAAAACAGATTTTATTTTACACAGTTTTTATCCCAATTAGTTCAACGATTAATTAACACTACTTTTCATAATAAGATTTTTTCAGAGTCATTCATGTCTCATTAAACTACAACGTAGCCCCAGGTCATAACCCACTAATGTCTCATTAAACTACAACGTAGCCCCAGGTCATAACCCACTAATGTCTCATTAAACTACAACGTAGCCCCAGGTCATAACCCACTAATGTCTCATTAAACTACAACGTAGCCCCAGGTCATAACCCACTAATGTCTCATTAAACTACAACGTAGCCCCAGGTCATAACCCACTAATGTCTCATTAAACTACAACGTAGCCCCAGGTCATAACCCACTAAATGTGTTATACAGTTGACCAATTTTCAAGTTTTATTTTTACACTCACGCCACACGTATACGTGCGTAACAAGAGGTCACATAATACATAGTATACATTGATGGACATAGTACTCACATAATATGACACATGATACAATTCATACAATAACAACCCATTTCAATAATTCTTTTAGCTAAATTATTTTAGATATTAAGAAGCTTCATTACTCTTTGTATAAATTTACTTACTTTTGTTAAGAGTACCGTGTTACAAATTGAGAACATTCCTTTCATTTTGATATAAGTTGGGTTGACATAATAATAATTTGGTATATAAAGTTGTCTAAGAGCTACAACAGATACATTAGTACATTGGTATAAGTAGTGGTATTCGTCCCCAACACAGTTATTACATAGGGGACATAACCTTTCCTCGCGTGGGACTCTATTCCATCTTCCTGTTTCTATAGGAAATTTTATATTTGATGTTCTAAAATTACATATTACTTTTCGTTAATTACGATTTAGCTTTAAAAGATATGGTTCAATATTAAACTGAAATTTGAATAAGGAGTAAACTTGCCCTCGCGAGGAGGTTTCAACGTCATGAAACCAACTTTGAATGAATTGATCGCATAATTTCTGCTTAATGATATTTTTCAAGCATTGTCTATTAATTGTACATGATATTTGGAAAGTCCATAAATTATTAAATCCAGTATTGTTTAAGATATCTAGTATATACGTTAACCATTTAAAACTTAATAAAGAATTCTGGTGCAAATTGTACATTAACTTATACATTACACTAGATAATTTCGATCCACCCGTTATAAGCTTATGCTTATGCCATTTGACAAGGTATGGTTTGCCCTATTTATCATAGTGAAAGGAAATGACACAATATGTTTTACAAGATAACGCTGACAGATATGAGAAATGAATCATATGACAATTGAATGCCCTGTTGACAAAGACCAGCCTCAGGCAGGACCTCGACATATTATAACACAAGACCAAATATCAAGCATGATTTAGTATTGATGCTTTTTCATAACTTACACTGACATTAACTACTATTGTGAGAAAGAAAAAAATAATTTATTGCTTGCCAGAAGCACAAATGATCAATTTAATAATGTTTCCACATATTTTTGGAATAAATGTATATGGAAAACACAAAAGTACAAGTATAGCTCAATCAAAGAATGGTGGGATATATCAAAAGTTAAAATTAAAGATATCTGCATATCAACGAGTAAAATATCAAATACAAGTGAAAAACAAATAACGGATTTAGTAAAAAGAAGCTCCAGACCAAAACGTTTTGGAATAAAACAGACTATGTCAATATTGGGAAAAAAACCTAAGATCATTATCGAAAAAGGTAACAACAGCCAGAATTAGGTGCAGAGTTAAATGGTACGAAGAAGGGGAGAAATCAACAAAGTATTTTTAAGGGGAAAATAAAACATGTACGTCCATTAAAAGTGAGGATATGGAACATATAAATATAGAATTGAAGATATGTTAATGAAACAGGTGCATTTTTACAATAAATTATTTATAACATAGGGGATAAACGAATTAGAAGCAAATGGACTATTAGAAAATGTTGATACAATGATGAATGATATACTCACGAAGAAATGGTGATCAACTACCTACAAAGAAAGAAAGAAAAGTTGCAACTCATAACCTACAAAGTAACAAAGCGCCAGGTACCAATGGTATTCTTTCAGAGCTTTAAAAAAAGTACTGGTACCTGATAAAAAATGAACTAACAGAAGTGATAACATACACATGGATATATTTCCAACAAATGAATTAACATATAGCCAGAACAGAGGCATTATCACTTTGATGTACAAAATTGGCGTCCACTTAACCTACTTAACAATGACTATAAGATAACTACAAAAATAATAGCGGAGAGAGTTCAAACATTGTTACCACATATCATACAGCCAGACCAAAAAGGTTTTGTTAAAGGAAGAAATATTGAAGACAATATTTTCCTTGAAACGAATAAAATATACGACTAATTCAGGATATCATAGAATACTAGAACCTGGAAAGAGTGAGGATGGGATATTTTTTTAAGCGTTTGATCGAGTGGAAGGAAATGGGTACGCATCTGTCTCGCAAAATTTGGTATCGGAGAGCAGAACTCTCACAGTCAGTTACTAACAAATGGGTTTCTATCAAAATATTTTAAAGTCAGTCGTTCTCTAGGGACTGTCCGCTCACTCCTCTAATCTATGTAATACAAGCTGAGCCATTAGCCTTTTCTATACGTAAAAATAAAAACATATCTGGCACTACTATTCCATGTCAAAATTATAATAATTTTGAAGCCAATAATATTGAAGCTAATAATATTGAAGCTAATAATATTGAAGCTAAAATACACGTGTTTGCTGACGATTTACAAGTATTTGCAGGCACAGAAAACAGTATCAATTAATTAAAATATCCTGTATCCAGTTTGGATGTCCACGTTCTGCCATGTACATTAACTATGATGTGAAAGACTTTACAAAAGGGGGTGGGTACTGGCAGATGGGGCTCCTCCACTGGTTTACATGGTTTTGGAAATTTTGGAAAGTTTTGAACAAATTAATTAGTTATCTTCTCTTCGTTAAAAGTGACCAAAATCACACATGTTTTTAGCAAATAATGAATGATAGAGTAGAAAAATGCCTCTTGTGAGTGCCCGTTTTTGTACAAGGAGGGAACCCAGGGCTCCTCAACCCTGGCTCACCTTATAAATGTGCTGAGGTGATAAACAATATATATGCATGAATTAGCCATCGGGAGATCAATCATTTTTCATTTGTATGGTATAAAATGATTTTACCTAGATACACACACATATATACAAACTCGGGGGCGCTTTGCTGTCCTGTGATATTTCTATTTGTAAATGTCGTGACTACACACTTATCTACTTTCGCAATACCTTTTCATATAAGACCTAATGAATGGAACGATTTAGAAATCAAAATGTTTATAACAAAGGGAACAAATTAATATACAAAAGCGTAACATACACAAAGAACGAATGAACCAAAACGTCAATATACAACACATTGGCAAAATATTCCAGTGTCAACACACCCGAGCAAAATATACACTGCGTCTCTTTATAATTTCTCTCTATTTCTTAACAGCCTCTTTTTACTTAGCCCCTTGCATTGGCAATACTAAATATACGTCAACACCTTAAGAACACATAATTGTAACACCTTGTGTATCCATGTTTGTTTGTTCATTTAGGTTGGACAGGTGAGCAACGCAGCCTCAGCAGCCTATACGTTTCTGGTACGGAACCCTGGGTACGATGATGTTCTGTCTATGTTAGGGGCATACAAGTACGAACATAGCATCCCGGATCACATGATCATTGATTTAGAGGAGCGACCCTATGTGGTAACGTATAGCAGTGATTGATTACGCGCTAAAAACCGTAATAATATTATTAAACACAAACACGAACCTGTTTGCGATTTACTTTATAATGGTAGACTATATATGATGCTTGAAACCCCATGTATGGACGAAATGTCTTCGATTATATTATGTATAAACCTGCTCAATACACATTTCTATCAAAGCAGTTTTTCTTATCACGTACATCCCTATCGTGTTAGGCAGTGAATACATCATCTGAACTATTTGGAAAGAGATTCGAGTTAAGGAAAAACAAATAGATGCTAAGTTTGTTTTGAAGACCAACAGTAATTAAAAACTAAATTTGCGAGCTTTAGAAAACGTTTGTTTTCTTTGTCAAGGAAAGAGTGCATATGACCAGCGTCTCGACCAGGTGTTTACGAAAGCTCGCAAAACAAGTTTTCTATTACTGTTTGTAATAATAACAAACTCAACATTAACTCATGTAATAGAGCTGTCAGAATTAAAACAATAGAAAAATTAAGCCAATCGATATGACGTTGTTGTATTGCGACGTCACTTTTACGTCTACCTTGTCATGTTGAAGACTTTTCGTAGAAAACATTCTTTTTTACGAATATTTGTACAAGTGCTTGGTAATGTGATAAATACGGTTCATAAAGCTTGTCGCACATGTCTCTAATGCTAATTCATTGAACTTCTATTTAAATTATGCATTACACAACCAAACTTAAACAGCAAGTTTTATTATCAGACTGGCATACACCATTGCGTCTAATGATAACAATATTTGATATTTTAATAATATTTTAATGTATTAATATTTCACGGAGCAACATTTTACATTGAATTAAATCGTGACATTTTATGTTTTGTTTTTTGGTGACATCAGAAACACCGGAAGGATGGCGAGTCGGCCTATCGACTTGGTAAATGGACTGATGCTGTTAAACATTTTGAAGCAGCGCTGAAAGAGTATTACAAAGAGGATGAGTTGTGTCGAGCTCATTGTGATCTTGGACACAGGAGCACATCCTCCGGGCTTACACAGATTCTAGTAGGTAGTGTACATATTTACATTTCTATTGACTATGATACAATCACTGTAAAGTCTATTAAAAACATTAAGAATATTAAGTATACACATACTGCACTCCTTTACCAGTATATAGAAGAAGAAAAAATCAATAAATTGTAATAGGTTTTGTTCTGAAATCCTTTATGTAAAAGTAACGAAAATGACATCAACACATATCACGTTTCAACACATCGATACCAGGAATAACTTCATATTATGGCATTGTCATCACTGATATATGGGTAGTCGGGTGGTGCAGTGGATAGCGCACTCGCCTTTCATCAAGGTGACCGGAGTTGGATTGCCCGATCGGACGTGGAAAACGTATTGGGTCACCTGCCCGACCTCGTGGGTTTTCCCCGGGTACTCCGGTTTCCTCCCACATTAAGACCCTACGCGCGGTTACATCGGGTCAACAAGAGTGATCAATATAATTTGAAATAACTTGTTTCATAATTGTTGTAAAATAAATAAAGTTTATATTTATACTGATATATCAAACACTACATGTTATCTATCGGCATTAAACATGGCATCTATTGTCTCTGAGGTTTTGGAATATTATTTTTAAAATAAAGTGCACCATCTTTGTATATAATAGATTTATGGCTATATGTTATAACACATGTTGAATTACACAGATGGGATATCAGCAGTACTCCAGTGCCAGCAAGGCTGTGCCGACACCCTAACTCACCTGTACGGTCAGACATATCCAAACTACCTAACAGATCACTATCTGTACCTACAGGACGTTTATGTAAAAAGTATGTCATCTTTGTAAATTTTGGCCTTTTTTAAACTAACAGGTTCCCGGTAATGTACATCTCATATACACTCTCATTATCTGAAATTGAGTTAAAAATTACTGATTAATTTATTTCATGTTGAATCGACATTAAAATAATTCTTTTAACAGTTGATACAATCATGTATTTTTTCGAGCAAAGTGTTATTGAGTTGACGATATTTTTTTTATATAAACATTGAATAATAAACCTAACAAAATCAGTTATTTACTAAATTATGTTATTACAGTATAGGTAGCAAACACATTATTAAAAAGGAGTTGTTTAACAATAAAACATTTGAATAAGGTATCAATTTAATTCTAAAAACAATACTGAATTCAAATATGATAAAACAGATCGTTGTTGTAAGAGCAGTCTTACCTGTTACTTTTACAGCAAATGATAACGTCAATGCACTAGAAGCTGCAACTACATACCTAACCTTCAAGCCAGAAGATCAACAAGTGACGCAATACAGAAATAATCTCCTGAAGAAGCTCCAAACAAGTGATTCAGAGTTAACACCTGGACAGGTATATAATGATATATCTGTGAGCATTATGTAAATGCCAAGTAACACACGGACATATTTCATAACATGTTATTTTGCTCTCCGTTCGATTTGGTTCTTGCTGATCCCACAAGCCAACCTAGCATTGTTTTTTCAACCAGTAAAATGTATAATCGCTATGATGATTTTAACCTCATTATGGAGGACGAAAATTGTAAACTGTGGTAAAAATTTCCCTGTATACAGTATATACTCTGTGCCTGTGTAAGATGTGTTGGAGATCATAACAGTTAATGGTAACGTATCCTTTTCTTCATTGTTTATTTACATTCATCTGCTTGTAACATCACTACACAGGATGCAGCTCGATATATCGAGACGAGGAAACGTATGACAGATTTACTGGATGAGTTATTAGGGAGTGAACACCAAAAGTCTAAATATTACAAGGAAGGTGGGGACGGAGAGACACAAGATAATTCTGAGGTAAGACATAATCGAAGCAATCCATCTGCTACAGCAATAAAAGCAAAGCGATTTACAAAAGACCAAATATATATACGTAGAATATAACAGGTTTTCAGTACTATTGAGTGATGAAGATCACTAGAATAATTTTCTTTGACGCTCTTTGAATAGTTTTATCTAAGTTGTATAATCAGAAAATGTGTTAGAGGTTCCTTTATACAACTGAAAGACAAACGACACCATGGTATACTTGGCTGCCAGCAGTTTTACTTTCATGGCATTAAAATACCATAGGTGTATTGCATTAGCTCAGCTGATATTAATGTTATAAAGATATATTTATTTGGGTGGGACATTGTGTAGCAGAGAAATATTTGTAAATTATCATCAGTAGGTAATGTATTTCCCCCGAAGATTTCTAAACTTTGTATAGATATGTTCGTCCAAGTGAAGATGTATTTAAGTGAATTTAATGTGTATGTTGCTAGCTCATAATTGTTGTTCAACAGCACAGTGGACGTGGATATTTATATTATTTATATACCTTCTTTTGTTTTAGGAAATCCAGTCTAGAAAACCTGAACCCGACACTTCAAACGATATTGACTTTTCGTCAAGATTGGAGAATGCTCGCTTGTTTAACACAACTCAAATTCTGAATAACCTCTTCAAAACTTTAAGTAAGTATTATGGTTTTTTTTTGTAGATAACGTGTTTATTATTTGTTCTGTGTTTTGGTTTGACATCGTGATGTACCAGCAGTTATGAATGGCATAAAAAACAATATATTTGTGCTTGATAACCCTTTCATATTTCAAAACAAACACCCAAAAATATATAAAAACCTCTAACATGGATATCTAACCATTTCAAACCGTCTATATGCAATGCCATTCATAATTACTGGTTCAACGCGATAACTGACAGGAACCAAATATATATAATATTGACAACTGTTTTAATAATGTAATATTGTATCTGACACATTGTCTAATAACTGCGTCAGGCCTTACGTTACTACGTCTATCCTATTGAAAAACGCTGGGATCTTAAGCTAAAACTGCGTATTATATAAAAAAAACTCAGGGGTTTACTTTATTTAGTTCAGTCATGATGGAAATTAAAGTCACCAATTAATATAATGTAGTATTTAAGATAATATTAATTGAATTAATGTTTTAATCTAATTTGCGAAGAAGAAAAAAGCGAATCAATACGTATTTGAGAGATAAAACTTGTATTGATTACCTAAATAAACTGGAAAAAAAATGAGAACGAAATAAAATCAAATGAGGAAATATTTTTTAACTATTAGCAGCTTGGAAACTTTAGGAATAAACGGGAAAATGTAGGAATGGATTAAACCTTTTTAAGAAACCACGCTTCGCATGTGAGAATTATACCCTCTCACCAGTTTCTGTTTTTCCTTGTGGAAGCATTATTGGAGTGTTTCTAAAGATTCTAAAGTTGAAAAAAAACTTTCCTTTAACTCCGTGATGCTTTACTATGGAGAATTTTAAGTTAAGGAATTTCCTTAACTAAGCAACATTCGTGAAACTTGGGGCCAGGAGAATGGTACCGAATGCGGAAGTTGAATCTTCTAAAGTAATTTAAAGTATTTTCTTGCACGTTCACTTGTTACCCTTTTCGTTTTCTGACAGATAGAATAGTTATAGTAACACTACAATAGAATAATTTAAGTAAGACCACAATGGAATATTTAACGTTACGAATACTTTCTTTATTAAGGTGCTGATGTCGCGCTGACGGGTGAAACATTAAAACACGATAAACGTGTGGTTATGGATAATCTCTTTACAAAGGAGGTGTGTGATGACGTCATGCGTATATCTCAGGTAAGGAACATTATGAGAGTTTTTTTGTATCGAACAGAATCATGATATTAGCAAAACTATTGAAGTGTTGTTATGTTAGCCTTGGAACGCAGAATGAACAGAAATAGAGGACACTAACCGGAACTGAAGGGACTCCAAAACAAAAAGAAAGACACCATGAAAAGTCCGGATTTGAACCCAGGGCTTGCTTAATAAATTAAGTCAGAGCATTAAAAGGTGCATAACTTAGTCTTTTTAGTTTATCTTAAGTTCCTACTAATAATTGTAAGAATGAGAAATTTGAATAAGGTATAACATGAACTAGAAAATAAGCTTGACCAGAGAATCTGGTTTTGCATTGAAACTTTTTCACGACTACAAGCCCTGGTGCTCATCAAGGGAAGATTTCTTTCACCACGTTTGGCGCATGTCATGTTGTCGGCCATCAAGTCAAGGAAAGTATGATTTATAGATGTATGCATTTCTAATGGAGATCCTCTAACTTGTAATTTTTGAATGACAGTACTGAAACCGGTTAATATTTATATTCTATGTAGGTTGTTTATGTGTAACAATAACAACGACACTTGATGAATGAACATATTTCAGAATGGAATAAAGAACGCCGGATATCACGAAATCTATCCTACAGCTGTCCGACCCAACTTTGCCAAGGAACTTTTTACAGGATTTGATATATTGGACTGTTGGGAGGTAGGCGACTTTCTGTATCCTATATTTAAGCCTAATAAACGTCTTAATATCAATTCAAACAGACCTATCACTACTTTAAGACCTTGTTCTTATAACAGATATGTACATAACAATGAGCTGGAACATTTTTACCAGAGAAGATGAAAAACGACCGTACCAAATTGTCAATATACAATCATGCCAAGCAACATGGCAAAACATTTTACCTTTTAAAATTTGACATAACTCTGTTCTAGTTTTGTAATTTTTGTCATCGTTATGCTGGCTTTATATGTCTCTGGTCAAAAGGAACAGATTGCACATAAGTTATATTTTCACCATGTTTTATTTGTTCACGATTATATTATCATATTGTCCGATATCAATATCACTTGATAGTTCCGAAACCATTCACCGAATTCCTTTTTCATTACACTAAAAATCTATTTATCACCTATTTGGATACATGATATAGCTAACTGTATACTTGGTGTAAATGGTTGTCTAGAAAAATCTCCACCAGTACAATCATATGAAAGCAGTATATTACCTTAATTAGTTTTATTAATTTCAAAATGTCACAGATCTGATACATTTAGCTACATAATCATATAACATTTTCTTCCTTATCAGCTCGTACTTGGAAAACAGCTCAAAGAGAGTGACGTAGACCTTCTGACCAGGCTAGCAGAACAGGTCCGCCACCTTGTAGTACGCTGGTTCAACGAGACACGTCCAATCTACCACGACTACACTCAGTTTACTTGCAGAAAGGCACTAGATGGTGTGTATACTGCTTGTATTCCGTCTTTGCGTATTGCAGAGTTATCTGCTCTTGTGAGCAGGTATTGATTGTGACGTCATTTTTTTGTGAGAGTAACGTCATCTATTTTTGAGAAAACAACGTAATTTTCTCACTCATACCTATGACGTAACAGACGATACCTGCTCACAAGAGAAGATAAATCTGCAATACGCAAAGACGGAATACCCCGAGACTCTGCTTCTAAAAGTGTTACTACTATCACATCCTGGCACCCTTTCCGAAAGCCCACTTATATACTGGCCTAAGGTTTGCTATCGCAGCCCAGCACCCTATGATCTAAAAAAGCCTATTAAATGCATTAATTAAAGCATACCCTATCTCACCAATCGCGTTTTATTGATTCCTGCATTGTTGTTTTGGCCAATACGAATACAAACGTAAATATGAATGTAAATAGGGATAGCAGAACTTTCGTTAGCATATTCACAAAACTCTCTCAATATTTAAGTCATACAGTGAAATGTTTTAGCATTGCCTTTGACAAAACCACGAACTGATATGTTATTCTAAAGAATGCGATGGAATGTACGGTTTATCTGATCTAAGATGCCAGGTATTGTTATTTTGGTTTTCAAGATTAATCAAGACATATTTTCGTTTGAGCGTCACTGTTGTTTCAGTCGTGTTCCTGACATAAACTTTACGTAACTGTAGTCTGTGCTCACCACTCTAGTAATGTTTTTAAAGGAAAGCAGACAAATCGAACCAGTGAGGATCTAAGCCACCCTGTTCACGGTGACAGTTGTGATTTCAAACCTGACCAAGGCGTCTGTGCAACAGAAACTGCGGCATACCCTTGGCGCACGTACAGGTAAATTTATTACATGAAAGGCATTTTAACAAATTATATTGATCAGACACCAAGCGAAGCATCTTGTGACTCTTCTATGACATTTGCAAACTTCTAGATCCACACAGTAAAGATATATTTACCAAATCAATTGAACTTTGCAGCATATAATACTGATACGCTTATAACTTATTGAGAATGTCCATAATGTCCCCCATTGCCTTGACAACATATAAAAGGCTAAGATGATAAGTGCGGAAAGGGAGATCCTTCCTTCCTATTACCTTTACACTACAAAGAAATTAGAAGTGCAAAGGCAACCGTCTTTATGTTCCCATATAAGTTGTATATTGATTTAGTTTTAATTTTTACGAAATGTAACACGTTGACGTTAATCTAAACTTTACATAAAGCCCGCCATTCAAACATGTTGTATTTGAAATACAAACTATTATCCTTTTAACATCTATTTGTTTTCAGTGCCGTGCTGTATTTTAATGATAATTTTGAAGGTGGGAAATTTTTCTTCGCTAATCCAGACCAATCCGAGCAGGTAAAATTAAAGTTGATAGACTAATTTGCTAAAATATTTATTATGATTTAATGTATGCATGTATGAATTCGGCCGCTAGTACAGTACTGCCTTTTGGCATATTGATATGATGAGGTGTTTTTAACCCGTGATATAATATGATGCTTCAAATTGGTGAGAATATATCAAACAAACGTTTTTTAAATTACTACAATTTCTTTAAATGTCATTTGACTAAACATTAAAATGTATAAAATAAAACAGAGGAAGTGAAATATCAAATTACATAAATTTTGTCTACAACTGCAGCGATCCCCATTTAATAGACTTAATATTAAAAGAAATAATTTTATCAAATTATTAAGGATAGATATTCTCAACGGGTTGGTCTTATGATCTTATGATGATTACTGGTATACCATAAACTATTCAAAAAGTTTGAAAGGTTGGTTTAATTTTGTTTAACGTCCTAATAATAGCTAAGGTCATTTAAAGGACGTGCCACCATGTGTGTAGTGTATGCCTGCTTGCGTGTGTATATGCAGGAAACAGGGTATGTTGGTTTGCTTGCCTCCTTGTGATAGCGCAGATCTGATGCCGACTTTATAGTGCTATCTCACTGAAATACCATGCCGAAGACACCAAGCACAGCAATCCGCCCGGTCACATTATACTGACAATGGGTAAACCGGGTATGTCCCGCTCTGGGGACAGAACCCATTGCTTTCCTCGCCTGGGCGAACGCTCAACATTCCAGCAAAAAGTGAGGTGATGCCAAGCAAGTCGTTAGGAAATAAAAGGTAGTTAGAAGTAGAAAGAAAAATGAAGATCCCAAATATTGCAACGGGTGCAGCAGATTTATTTTGGTTGCTTTTGTGTCCCCAAGTAGAGGACACCAAAGCAAATCCCCAATTATGCAGGGGGTTCCGACATTGGTCGCCTTCTACGATACATGCAGTGGGTAACAGCAGGTGTATTCTTTTCCCGATCCTCCACCTGCAGAGGTGGGTGCAGACATTTACACATTTTGGAAAAATAAATGACTTTCTTTGTGTTTAACATACTTTGCGTAACACGCATGTTCCAAATCATCAGATTAAATGTACGCTTTCATGGTTGATTGGTCGTTTGGGTCTCTAGTCATAACAATAACTGAAATATACGACGACAGTATCCAAAAATAATGGGGTAATTTATAGTGCCATGCCACTGGGCATTCCCAAGGACAAACTACTCTGAGAAGGAAAATAGGAGACATCTACGAAAGGAAAAGTCCCACATTAGTCGCCTCGTACAAATATTCCGTACCCGACTTTGCCGGGGTGGCTATGTCGTCATACGTTTATACATGTTAAATATGTTACATACGACACTCATTCACGTAACCATCTAACGTCCTAACGATGGACATCGTATTGCTGTCATTTCGTAAATTGCTACACTCTACACTGATTCATATTATTGAATGTTTGGTCTTAACACATATTTCTTACTTTGGAGTATTTTCCATTTTCGAGTATTATATTTGCAACAAATAGGTTTATAATATATATACGGGTATTTCAATTTCTAGTCTATTTTTAACAGAAGGTTTATTTTGTTTTTATTAAATAGCTTTCTCCGGTTATACCCAAATTCTTCAAAATTAATCAGTGTTGAACATAAGCATTAGTACGCTTACATGATAAATTATTATTTTATTTTATTATATTATTAATAATTGATGTAACCCCATAATATCTGTCAATTTGTAACAACACAATCACATTACTAGTTAGCAAAGCAGTACTGTCAATGTATCCGTCAAAACACTGTTCACTATAACTGTAGATCGCGTTAGCTTCCTCTCAAATCAATATTTGTCTTGCATAAGTTGATGACCATGATGAGGATTGAATAATATAAACGTATACGTAAAGTCAATTAACAGGTAGCTATACTGTTGATCTGTTTAACATTAACCATGCAGTGAAATATATTTCATAAATAGGATGACATTTGGTCCAAACTACACTATGTATATAAACATTTGGTCAGGTCAACTGCTGTACCTGAGGGTAAACCGGCTTTTGTCGCGTTCACTAACATTGTAGCATCCCGTTCGGAGTTTGGATACGATCAATCCGGAATGTCTGTATTAGATATCACTATGATGCGTTTTTTGGTGTAATATACAGGTATCTATTGTTCCGAAGTGTGGACGAATGGTCGCCTTTCCGAGTGACCATCTACACGGGGTCAAGGCTGTCACCAAAGGAAAGCGTTGTGCTGCCACCATCTGGTTCACGGCATCCGCAAATCGTCGACGAGCACTTCCAACGTGGTCGGGCATTGTAAAATAAATCTGTTTGCCGTTTAATCATCTTTTGTGTTTCTTTATTATTAGATCTACACCTGGCAAATAGGTCCTTGTTTATCATGTAATTACTTTTGTTGGAACTTTTGAAAAACAATACATGTTTGATATACCAAACAATGAAAGGTAAAATATACAATAATTGATTGTCAATTTATGTACACATGCAAGGAAGACTTACACAAGAAACACACATGTTACTGCACCTTTAGCATTTGGTAATAGACATAATAAGCCAAAAATGAATCATATTTCACCATGCAGCTGTTTAGTTCTTCTGGGACTCGTCGGTAATGCTTTAGGCCAAAAGGGGTGGGTTGGGTGGGAGTGCGTAAAACCCCCTTAATTGTGTATGCATCTGAAAAATGGGAATACTAGTTAATTTCCAATAACGAGTAGAGTTTTCATTATGAACAGTACCATGACCCAAAAGAGATAATGTAGTAGCCAAGAATGTTACGGCATACCTCATTCTCGATATCCAGGGGTAAGGCTCATTTTCGCTCTTCTGGATGTCGAGGAAGAATAAGATATCTACCAGAGCCTACCATCTTGTAAATACATATTTATCAACTTTATACAGACAACAGCTTACTACTAAAGTAGTGTGACATTGACATTCCTTATATATTGCAAGATAAATGTAATACACACGTGAATGCACTTTGAAATGTGTATGCCAAAAATGAATTACACCCCACCGTACGGCTGTTCCATCCCTCTAGGTCTCATCGATGCATCCTCGATAGCCAGGGGTTACGTTCACTTTCGTTCTCTACACCCCTGGAATGTCATAGAAGTTTGATTGGTCTTATGTAAACTGACCATTTGCTAGGCTGATAAATGTCCTTTGAATATTAAAAAGGAGAGACGCACGACTTCAAAGCCTGTCAATTTTTACCGTTGCGTGACCGCGAGATTATTTTAATGTACACCAAAGGATCTAACTAGTATTCCTGTCTCAGCAACAAGGTGGCGCACACTGAGCCTTCAATTTTGCTATGACATATAGGCCAGGGGTGTAGAGAGCGAAAGTGAGCGTAACCCCTGTATATCGAGGATTTCATCGATGTTACTAAATGTTTCAACGAAAAATCCACGTCTAAAATGTTCCGAAATATATGCAGAATATAAAGAAAAGGGAAAAGAAGTTACAACTTAAGGATTCAGCAATAAATCATATCAAATCAGGGTTCCATGTATACCGTACCAGAATATATTCCCGCGTCAAGAATACCGTCTTGATCAGAATTGCCTTTAATTACTGGTGTAACGTGATAAGTCAATAACCCATATTTATTAGAATATTATGTATACCAAACAGATATTTTATGAGAAAACATCAATTTCATACTTGACTGAAGTTACAATGAAAGTGAAAGGACATGTTACATGGACAAAATATTTTTTGCCCACAAAGCAATTTAACCATAATTGAGTTACAAGACACGGCCCATGGGATTTTTTTTTTTTAAAAAAAGGTCCCCGGGGCCAGTGCTATGACCTATTTACTGCCGCCCTCCAAAGGTGTACGACAGGATTCACTTTCAAAAACGAAAAACTATCAAAACAATGTTGTAAGATATCAAATAATATTATATTGTTTAAAGTAGGATCTGCTGCAAATTATGAACTCAAATATGTAACAACACATTGCATATTAAAAATGTTCTACATTCTTAAACTCTAAAAATGTTGGTATTTTCATACACTGTTTTGCTATGTCAATTTTTACGGAAGTGGTACACCAACTTCCAGTTGAAATTTTAGAAAATTTGAGAACCGGTAAATTTGTAAAATGTGAAATTGTAGCAACGTCTATTTCCAAATAAAATCCAATAACCTTATGACTAGTCATGTTTGATTATTTAACAAAGCGTTGCACCAAATTATTATCACAACTGATAAAATTGTCATCAGTTAAGTCTGCTGCTCATGATGAGCTCAACTATAAAGCTAGATGTTGCAAAATAAAAAGTTATGCAGTCTCGTACACAGAACAGTTTAGTATGTTATGTACATTTTAAGTTGTTCCGCATCTTTACGGAAGTGATAGACACATTTCCGGTTTTTGTACACCAACATACTTTGGATATTATTTGACACATAATGTTGACTGGCGATAGTAGACATTTCGAAAAAGATCGATATTCGGTAAATGTGTCATCTGAAGGTAATTTCTTTGTATGACAAATGTCAAAATAACTTTTCAAAATCTTTTAATTGTAATAAAATTTGGTTGAAAACTTTAGTCAAACTTTAGTCAAACTAGCTTTGGTACGGCTGCACTGGTTTTACCTATGGTAAAACTATTTCAATTTCTCAATCGTGTAAAGCATATAGCCGTGAGAATGATCGAGTTCCTTTGTTTGTATTTTTTTGTATTGTTTTTCCAAGTTTATAACAATGGAAAAATACATCATATATCATACGTAAACATTGTTACTCTCACACATTAATTTACCATTCCTTCATTAAACATTCAATAATAATAAACTAGATATTGCCAAGGTGCCTCTCTATTATTTCCAGGTATAATCTCTAAGTAATCATGTTTACGTCAAATTAAACTACAGCTAAAGTATGTCCGTTATATATAAGCATTGTTTAGAAGTGACAGAAAAGAGGATAGGGCAGGTCCTAGAGGTATAGAAGGGAAAGTAAGACTAAAGAGAGAGGAAAAAATCAATGAGGTGGTGGGGGGTTGAGAAACAAAGACGCTATATAGATGTGTCGGAAAGTTCAGGGAGTTTTACATATGTGTACTTAGAAGTACATGTTTACATAAGTAAATTCTATAGTTATATGTTCATATTTTGGCAAAGACAGGGTTTAAGCAATATCAAGTAGTCTTTTCCCATTTTTTTCTATTCAATGATTGAGTTCCTGGTTGACAGTATTTTCCTAGCATATTGTAGGTATTCTTTTGGGAACAAACTACCCTTCTTCTGCTTGACTTGTTTTTCTTTCTTATTAGACAGAAATTATTGAAGAGTTTATAAGTACTGGTAACAAAGCCGTGTCAAATCCTGCAATGTAACTTTTAGATATCGGCAATGTGCTGTATCTTCATTCCCTCAACTTGAAATCAATGACACTATAAACTGTTTTACATCAGACGCTTTCCTTGCTCTCTCAGTATGACATGACCAACAGGGACTAATCTGTACGAAAAGCGAGGCGAATTCAGTTTTCCAATTATGAACGTTCCCTTTCTTGGTAGTAACATCACATCTTCCTCGATTAATTAGTTAATTAATTGCTGCAATTAGTTAGATTGTCAAGAGCTTGTTCAGAACATAATGATTTTTGTGAGCGATACCGACTGCTGACAAACTTACAATACAGGGATTCGAGAGATGTTTGCTGTTTAAGGATATGGATATGTTTAATGGTGTCCTTGCCCGAGTGGGAAATATGCCCCTTTTTGTGTGATATTAATTTCTACCCTTCTTGTTTTGTTGCCACTACCTATGATTACATAATTTTACTTGGATTTGACCTAGATTTGCATTTTCAATGAAGCAGAAGACGCTTACTATTGCGGAGCGCTTATCCTTCTTCATCCTCGATACTCCAGGGATTATACTCACTTTCGCTCTCTGCATCCTTGGAATATGTCAGCGCAAAATTGAAGGCTCAGTGTGCGCCACCTTGTGGATGAGACAAGAAGACTAGTTCGATCCTTTGATGTACATCAAAAGAATATCGATGTCGCGTAACGGTGCAAATTGACAGGCTTTGAAGTCGGGCGTCTCTCCTTTGTAATCTTCAAAGAAAAGGTATCAGCCTAGCGATTGGTCAGATTTTTTTTATCTAGACCAATCAAACAGCTATCTTAGTGCCTTCAATTTTGCTATGACATATTTCCAGGGTTGTAGAAAGCGAAAATGAGCGTAACCTCTGGATATCGAGGATGTGGGTGGAAAGAAGATATGTGTATCTGGAGCGGACCCCTTGGATTTCGAGGATGACACGTTGCTTACATCCCACTTCTTCGCAGTCATTTGAACCTATTGAACAGTATCTTGACTCAATAACTCTGTTATGTAGAAAGAAATTCAGTTAGTTATTTTAACTGTTATAGACAAATTTTACACTTGTGACATTTGCAATGGGTGAAGATTATTTGAAGACTTTTGACTGCCATTCGCTCCAGAAAGCCATGAACCAAATATCACAACTCTATGGCCATGTAACAATACATCGGTATGAGTCATGTCAAGTTGTTCACATACAATGTATAAACACTAAATAGTGGATTGAGGTAACCTATTCAAATAGATATATGATAGCCCTGTATCACAAGATGGCCATCTCAATTTTGACCTAAAAAGATGTTTGATAGAATCTAACAGAAGTTGGATATGGATGGACCTGATCAAAATACAACATAATCTCAATCTTTTCTGCACATTTTATTTGGCCGTTTCATGATTTAAACTTATTTTACTGGTACAAATGTTTAACGTTCAGCAGATGGAAGTAGTGAAACATACCAGATTACAAAACATTATCTGTGTAAATAACCTTTGTATGTTTTGATATACAACACAGGTTTCATGTTATATTGTACCCACCAGATCCTTTGTTAACAAACCCTTTAATGATTTATACACTACAACATGCATATTTCATATATACCCAGCTGATTTTATTATACTGACATTTGATACAGTGCCTGATTTTATTATACTGACATTTGATACAGTGCCTTATAGATCTAGAATAAGCTACTCATATTTCTAAGCATTTTCTTCAGGTTGGTTAGTATGGATTATGAAAAGTTCTTTTTACACAACCAATACAATTTTCTATGTGATGTTTCGATGACTAGTGTGATATGTACACTGTCACCTTCATCAGACAAATGATCAGTGAAGCGTTTGCACACAAAGGTGTAAAATGTGTACCAGTTGTCCACAATATTGATGTCGATTTCGGCTACGCTGTAAGCGTACTGTTTAATACTTGGTCATAGATGTGCAAGAGTCTTTAAACCCCCTCGTCTCGATTTAGAACTGGCCCACTGTGGCGTATCCAGATGGCTTTCTATATCTATCGCTTGAACTGATTGCTCTTTCTGTCCAAAACTTTGGAGTTATCCCAGTCAATCACATGATTTTTTCTGTGTGGCATAGTCTGTAATTGCCGATTTATTTATCTTGGACTCTGACTGCATCTTTTCTGATCTGGTTAATTTCCTTCCTTCTCGGGTTTCTGTATCTTTCCGGTGTTCACCGAGGCGGACCCCAAATCGCCTTCTAGTATCTCCAATATACGGCGTGTCGCAGTTTTTGCATCTGATTTTGTATGCGCATTCTGCGACGTTTTCTTTAGGTGTTTTATTCTTAGGGTGTACTAGGATATTGCAAAGCGTCTTGTGGGGCTTTATGGCTGTTGCTATGCCATGACCGAGATATATCCTCTGGATCGTTTCGGATATACCCTTTATATACGGATGACCACTTGACCTTTGGTTTTGTTCTTATACTTGATTGACCTTTTCTTGTTCTTCCCCTTACTTTGACACTGTTTTTGTACCTGTTTTAGGGCCCATTCCGGATATGCACACATTCTCATTGCCCTTGCGATGTGATTCTGCTCTTGTGTTTTGTCCTGTTGTTCTATGACTATTGTTTCACATCTGTTGAGCAATGTGTGTACGACGCCTAACTTCTGGTGCAAAGGATGGTGAGATTTGAAGTTCAGGTATTGGTCAGTATGGGTCTTTTTTCTATAGACCAATACCTTAACGAAGCGTTGTTGATAGATGTTGTTTCGGAAACTAATATATGTTGATATAAAAACTTAAGAAGGAAGGAAATTCACCAGATCAGAAAGGAAGCAGTCGGAGTCCCAGATAAATAAATCGGCAATCACAGACCATGCCACACAGAAAAAATCATGTGATTGACTGGGATAACTCTAAAGTTTTGGACAGAGAGAGCAATCTGTTCAAGCGGTAGATAAAGGAAGCAATCTGGATACGCCGCAGTGAGCCAGTTCTAAATTGAGACGAGCGGGCTCAAAGACTCTCGTACATCTATGATGACCAAGTATGAAACAAAGCGTAGCTGAATCGAATCATTTCGGTACATATATAAGAACTATTGTACATACGCTTACAGCGTAGCCGAAATCAACATCGATTTTGTGGACAACTGTACAAATTTTACACCTTTGTGTGCATACACTTCACTGGTTACATGTATTTGTCTGATGAAGGTGACAGTGTATATATCGTACTAGTCATCGAAACGTCACATAGAACATTTTATTGGTTGTGTAAAAAGACCTTTTCATAATAAGCTACTCATAGGTGCTTTACAATACAATTCACACATGTAATATATTCCATGGATTTCTGAGGAGCCACCTTTTGAGGCATGACCCATTGTTCCTAAGCCACTTTGCCAACAACTCCACATGAGCATGTAGATACATACGTGCTGAAAGTGTATTAGCAGTAAAACTTTGCTTCCAATAGCATAATTTTCTATGATACCTCTCAGCAGACAGTGTAGAACCAACAACAGCCTTTTTTATGCTCAACCGGGGTTGCAAAGAGTTGAGCGGGCAGGGGAAATAAAAGAGACCCTAGCAAGATCTTAGCAGTCATCATTTATAATATGAAAAGCTGCATACACTGTATATATCTTTCAGGGAATTAACTCTCACACAAATCATAGAAGTAGTGTTTAAAGGTAGCATATACATGTGTACCCTTAAACTCTACACAAATCCGAAATATGATGTGGAACGGATAATGATACTTAAGGGAGATAACTCACACCAATAAGGTGATGTTGAAGATACCCTCTAAGGGACAATAACTCAAAACAAATCACTGGTATAACTTGTAAGGAAGCATAGTATAGTATACATGTATATATATATAGGGGAATTTACAAGAATTGCAGAATATTGATACCTTGCACAAGTGTGACGAGTCAAAATATTGGTTTATTCTGTCATACCAGTGACAGTAAAATATTTGTGGTACTCATTGGGAATCCATTAAATTTTCTAATTTTTTTCACAGCTTATAGTGCAGCGACAAAAATAATACGGTAAAATATTACTGCATCAGCATAGCGCAAGATTTAGGAACAAATCTTTGGTACCATATTTTCACGAAGACCTGTCGCTTTATAATATGGCTATGGTCAATTTGAAAGTTTTATGTTAATTTCTGGTATGATTTGCCTACAAAATGTTACCAATTACATAGCTATGTTTACAACATAGTGTATGTTCCAAATATGTACCAAATTAAACATGTATTCTACCATCATTCCATCTGCAGCTGATACAGAAAAACTGCAGCTGTCAATACAGTAAACAGAAAAAAAACCTCCAAGTGGACAATTAAAAAAATTGACACAGGACCTTATATCATCACATGAGAAGGTATTACATTTTGTATATCTTCACAAGAATATAAGTTTTTACCAAATTGATTATTTCTGATATTTAACTTAAATAAATATATCTTTCCTTAGAATAATTCTTAAAAGCAATAACATTAGAAAAATAGCAAGTCCTTGTTTAAAATGAAATTTTCATTTCAAGCTAGGTATTTAATAAAAATTCATTTTAAAGTTGTTAAAGATTTCAAGTTAAAAAATACCTGATAATATTACCTAAAAACAACACACCACATAATATACTATACACAACCGTAAATCAAAACATCAATTTCATGAGCTACTTATATATACAATAATTAATGTATGAAGGAAACTTAGTATATATATATACTCTACCTATAGCTATACAATACAGCAGTTCTAGTTAACCTCATAATCAAAACATTAACTCATTCACCCCTGAAGACACATTTAAACCCTTCCAATTCAAAGGTTGGAAGAGTTTATTATGAAAGTTCAGGGGTGAATGAGTTAATATATATATATTAATGTATCAATATACATAAAACAATATACATATGTAATAACAGGCAATTCAAGCCTCCACACATCACATAGGGTTTACACTGTTCTCTCAATATTTGTCATGATATTTTCATCAAAGAATTTGACACTAGCACTCATTTATTACCTGAAATCAGAGACATATATACGTCTCTGCTGAAATACAGTATATGAATTCGATAAAAGTGAAGGGGAGGTTACCCCGGCTTTATTTGATTATTCGTAATCAGTACATGTAATCAGTTATATATTAAGTAAATTCAACTATCAATAACAAATATTTGGTTTGACCAAGTTTTCATTTAATCTCGAGACACTAACAAAAATAATAGGCATAATTAGAATTTTAAAAATAAAAGGAATTCTAATATTATCAAAGAGTGATAACAAAATTCTGTAAAAATAAAAAAGTTCAATTCCAAAAAAGGAAATTAAAACAAATTAAAAATTATGAAAAAAGAACTGTATACATTGTTTGACACATCTGTCATGGTAATTTGTATGTTAATATTAAATAATTTATGAAATGCTGTATGATAAATTTTCTCCATTGGCTATTCCGTCTTTGTGTATTTTAGAGTTATCTTCTCTTGGGAGCAGGTATTGATTGTTACGTCATTGGGTTGTGTGAGAAATTACGTCGTTTTCTCAAAATTGATGACGTCACTCTCACAAACAAGTGACGTAACAATCAATACCTGCTCCCAAGAGAAGATAACTCTGCAATACGCAAAGACGGAATAGAGACCATGTCATCTCAGGCTATAGATGCAATCTCATCTATCTCTAGCCTGTCTCATTGCATGAGTGTCTCTGTTGATCGAAAAGTTGTCTGAACACTCACACAGTTAAATTTGGCCAGACAAAAAAATATATGCATTTCCTGTAACATGGTGGAATAATTTAGGAAAGGTAGGTAGGTAGCAAGTTTTATTTTCAAGAATAATTTCATATTGTTATATAGGTGATCTTGACATTAACAGTGCTTCTTTGAAAATTGCCTTAAAAGTTTTAGGGGAGTAGGATAGGTAGGGTTACCGGAAACACCAAATATGTTTGATTGATCTGTTGATTGAAAAATTGTCTGAACACGCACACAGTTAAATTAGGCCAGACAAAAAAATGTATGCATTTCCTGTAACATGGTGGAATAATTTAGGAAAGATAGGTAGGTAGCAAGTTTTATTTTCAAGAATAATTTCATATTGTTATATAGGTGATCTTGACATTAGCAGTGCTTCTTTGAAAATTGCCTTAAAAGATTTAGGGGAGTAGGATAGGTAGGGTTACCGGAAACACCAAATATTTTTTGCTTGGCCTTATCCTTCTAGTCCTGGAGATGTAGATGGTTTGTAGGTCGTCTGCGTTTCTGTAAAATAGGTGGAAGGTTTGTCCAAACTCTCCACCAGATACATCTCACGTACAGTTTCTTTATCATCAGAATGGGTCACCATGTGCCTCTGTAGATTACCTGTCTGACTGAACTCCTTACCACACACATTACACTTATACAGTTTCTGTCCTGTGTGTATCTTCATGTGCGTCTTTAGATTATTTGCCCGTTTAAACCCCCTACAACAAACATCACACACGTATGGTTTCTCTTCAGAATGTTTTTTCAGGTGTGACGTCAGATTAGATGACTGCTTAAAGCCGAGACCACAAACACCACAAACATATGGCTTCTCTCCAGTATGTCCTCTAATGTGTATTTTTAAGTCGCGCGAGTCATTGAACTCCTTATCACAGATATCACACTTGTACGGTTTTTCCCCTGTATGTGTCCTGAGGTGTATTTTTAGATACTGTGACCTACTAAAGCCCTTATCACACATACCACATATGAATGCCTTCTCTCCAGAATGCGACATGTTATGTGTGTTTAAGTCATTTATTGTAGAAAAACTCTTCTCACAAACATCACACTTAAATTCTTTTTCTTTTGCATGTGTTTTGATATGTGTTTTTAAGTTGGAACTGTGACTAAAATCTTTTCCACATATATCACACTTGAACGGTTTAATTCCTGAATGTGTCCTGAGATGGGTTTGCAGATTTTGAATCAAACTGAAATTTTTGCCACAGACGTCACACTTGTATGGCTTCTCTCCGGTATGTATTCTGCGATGTTTCTGACGCTGGCTTGCCTGACTAAACCCCTTACCACAAAAATCACAACTGTATGGCTTCTCTCCTGTATGTGTCCTGTTATGTCTCTGAAGGACATCTGCCCGACCAAACTCCTTATCGCAGATTTCACATTTGTACGGCTTTTCTCCTGTATGTGTCCTGATATGTGAATGAAGGCTAGAACTTGTGGTAAACCCCTTACCACAGACCTCACATCCGTATGATTCCGTTCCTGTGTGTGTGACTTTGTGTTTCTGAAGATTACCTGGTTCCCTAAACCCCTTATCACAAACATCACACTTATACGGCTTCTCTCCAGTATGCATTCTGTAGTGGGTCCTCAAATGTTGTGATAGACTGAAGTCTTTTCCACAGACGTCACACACGTAAGGCCTCTCTCCCGTGTGTGTCCTGCTATGTCTCTGCAGATTTGTTGCCTGAGTGAAGGTCTTACCACAGACCTCACATTTGTATGGTTTCTCTCCTGTATGGGTCCTGATGTGTTCCTGCAGGTGAGTAGACCTACTCAAGCCCTTACCACAGATATCACATTTGTACGGCCTCTCACCTGTATGTCTACTCAGGTGTTTTTGTAGCTTAGGGGCCTGATTAAACTCCTTACCACAGACATTACATTTGTACGATTTCTCTCCAGAAGGTGTACTGACGGGTATCTGTTCGTTAGATGTCTGATCAAACCCATTACATGTACCACCAACATCACTTGTGAAAATGTTTGGAATCTCTCCAGTGTATGTCGGAGTTTCGAACATTTCTGTATTTTCTTCAATTTCCTCTACTGTTCTTTCGTAAAGTTCTGAACCATCCATTATAATGCTTATCTTTTGGCAGACATTTCCTTTCTTCTTTTGTCACAAATGACTCTCCCTAGATTTTCCCTGTAATATTGATAAAGAGGTAAAACTCAACATATTTTAGCTATATATATAGTGTGTTATTATTTATGGAATTAGGAATTGCCACACATACCTAAAAGGAGACTTATTCATTCCAAAATTTATAGTTGTATGTACAGAAGGAAATCATGAAATTGGTTAATTTTGTCTAATTATATTACCAAACATAACTAGAAAAAGGGAGACAACTTCTATTATCAGTTCTGTGCTCTGCGACATTACGTAGATACCCAGTGCGTGAATTCATAATAACTGCAGTGTTTTTTTAGAAGTAAATTATTTGTTCTGTGTGATACTTTTCTGTATGAAAGTCACATTGCAAATGCTGTTTATTAATTGCCTATCAACATATATTCATCCTCAATATCCAGGGGTTTCGCTCTCTGCACCCCTGGAATATGTCATAGCAAAATTAAAGGCACACGGCTAGCTATTTGATTGGTGTCAGGTAATCACTAGGCTGATACTTTTCAGTTTTTATCATTACCCGACCGCTAGATTCTTTTGATGTACATCAAAGGACCAAACTAGTCTTCTTGTCTCATCCACAAGGTGCTGCACATTGAGCCTTCGATTTTGCTATGACATATTCCAGGGGTGTAGAGAGCGAAAGTGAACAAAACCCCTGGATATCGAGGATGACATATACTGTGCATACACCAATACTTTCACCGAAAAACAGTTGCATCCTTTCTTAACAAAACAAACATTTCACACATTTACTTCCACCAAAAAGTACAAGTACAAGATCAGTAACTTGTAGACTAACATGACTATATATGGCCAGCTATTTTTTTTGTGTTCAAAATGTTTAAAGGGTAAGAAAGCAAGAGTTATTCCCCTTGCCTCCTTTCCTTTCGCTGTATCTTTCGCTGTAATCTACATCGTTGTAAACTTTTAAGCTTTTGGAGATGTCTTGATAGTATTTCATTAATTATTTATAATGTCCAACCGGTTGCACATAAAAAATGATAAAAGTCCATTATTTACACATTAATGAGTTATAATACTGTACATGTAGGCCTAATATAGTCCATTTCATAGTAAAAATACCATTATGCTGAATAATCAGCGTTCAAACGTGTTTTGTATATCTATCATGCAAAAACGATATAAACAGAACGGATATATATCACTACTTGTCCTAGGCCTGTTATATTATATCTATAATTACTGTGAGTTGGGTTGGAAAATAAGTACTAGTTATCCCCCTTTAGCTGTAATTTTCACACCTTTTTGCAGCAGCACAGCCAAAGGATTTTAAAATCTTGGTTACCAAGCCTCCTACTGTTAACATGCATCACGCATTGCTAAGCATATGAGGCTTCTAGATTCACACATACCATCGAAGAAGAACAAACAATATTGGATATGTTTACCTTTGATGAAATAGGTCTAAAAATCCAGTTATTTCCGACCTGCTTATCATACAGAAGGACAACTATTACTTTGCTATGTTCTTTTTTAATGTCTTACCTGGGTCCTAGTTGTATGCTATATATATTTTGATCTCCACAAGACCAAATGATGTCTGTTGTCATCAATTGGATAAATAGTAACACCATACACATGTATCTAATTTTACAGATATCTTGCGTCGGGATTACTTCATTGTCAACATTTAATGGTACATGCTAATGACAGGATCGTTAAGACTGTTTTCTTGAGGTCTTTAGTTTGGTTGAAGCTCTATTTTATTCACATAGGCCTACATATGTGCTGGAGATATGCATAGTAAAAAAATGTTTAAAAATAAAGGAAACGGAGACATAAATAAATATCAGACCATTTGGTTGGTCCATGTCATAAAAAGGGTCCCGTGCCACTTACCTTTCATTTTTCACACAAAAAATTCATGACGTCTCCATTTTTTTGTTTTGGGGTTGGGGGGGGGGGGGCGATGAGGGCATTGTTTTTTCAAGCAGTTTTACGTCCACTTCTTTACTAGATATTTCAATTATCCAACTGGTGAATCAATTTTTATGTTGAAGCAAAGCAGGAATTATTTTCCGCGTTTTAGGCCTTTCATTGGTCCTCTTAAAGATGGGAGATAACTCTATTTAATGTGAAACTAACTTCCGCATTCATGAAACGGACGAATATGTATTCGGTAAGAGGTTTTGATCACATCGTTTGGATAAAAAAATAAGCAAACAGTCAAAACAAGGTGGCTACAGTGCCCCATGACCATGTGGTTATTTATAAATTCCTAGATAACTTGAAACATTCTGGAAAAACACACTTATCACATAATACCTTCAAGAAATTACATAATTACAACTCATATAAATAAATACATACATAAATAAAAAGCACAGATATCAGAAAATATAAAAATATAGTATAAGATTTGAATTAAATTGACAAGAAATAAAACCATTATTAAATTTAAAGCAGCACATACAATTTATAAAAAAATCAAATCAAAACAACACAAATAGCGCAATAAAAACTATATATATACATATACAAATCTTGCAAGCATATAATGACTAACTAAAAGTATATGAAGCAGAATGGATATACAGCAGAAGCAGCAGCAAAGGGAGGGAATTCATCTGCACATCGCACAGTGGCAACTTTCACCATTCCAAGTTTTTATTATTTTTTAGTCATTTAAAGTAATTAAATGATGTAGATATAATCTGACATGCTCTGGCAATGAGTTCCATGCAGAGGAAGCTAAATGTTCCATTCTTAACTGTTTTGCTTCTAGGGACATCTTCATTTTTACTGTACCTAAAATTATAAGGTGATATATTTTTACATGAATAAAATCCTGTAAATAACGGGCTTTGTCCATCTAAAATTTTAAAATTTTCTTTAGCTACTTGTCTTAGTCTTAATAATTGTAATGTATCATACAAGTGTTACATACCTTTTTCTAAAAGATCTTTGTAGCTGGAATTAAAATCTTGATAGACAAATTTAAGGGCACTATAGTGTACCCTTTCAAGTTTCTGGGTGTTTGCTTTGGAGCAAAAAAGCCATATGAGTGGACAGAAATTAAAACTTGACAATATAAAAGCATGATAAATGGTCAATGGTTACACCCAGAAGCTTAACAGCTTCTTTACATGTAATCGTAATATCACCTATGCAAACAGAAGTATTTTCCATCTGTGTTTTTTTACCAATTGTAATTGCCTGGAACTTGTCAGTATTTGCCTTCATTTTATTGCATTTAAACCAGTCTATGAGAGTTTTACATTCACTTTCTAATGTATGTCTTCAAACTTATGTTGTTGTGTGGATAGGACAGAGTATTGTCGTCTGCATATTTAAAAAGTTTTGCATTTTTAATGAATAAGAAAATGTCATTTATATTTTTTTTTTAAACAATTGGCCCTAGTATTGAGCCTTGTGGTACACCTTTGACAATATCTAATACTGGACTTGTAGTACCACCTATTCAATAGCTTCTGATAAGCTTCACAACGGTATCTCCCAGCCCATATGCTCCCAGCTTCTCCAATAGGAGTTCAGACGGTACACAGTCGAATGAATGCCTTGGACGTCAGATCCATCAGAATGGCACAGCTTCATATTTGTTACCGTCCAAGGCCATTCCCCACTCCTCAGTGAGTGCTATCAGCGCTGACTGACAGCTGTATCCACATCTGAAAGCCGAGAGGAAAGGATGGAAAATGCCGCGAAATTAGCCCCTAGCTGAGTTGCTCAACCATAGACCTTTCAAAAAGTTTGGTAATAGTGGGTAATATCCTCACTATAGTCTATAGTTTGTTTGACTTAAAGGGTTCTCCTTTTTAAAAATAGGGGTAACGTTAATAACCCTAGCGATCTTAAGTTGGTCTGGGAAATAGCCTTTAGATAAAACCATGTTAACCAAGTTTGTAACAGGCCTTGCCATAACATTACTGTTGAGATGAAGAACCTTAAATCTAAACCTGTAGCCTTTTTTTGGTCTGATTTTCTTTATTCAGGCAGATCAATGTTTTCTCTTATTGCTAAAACACTAGGGTGATCTGCTCCTTCAGGACAATTTGTATTTATACCTATATCTGTGACAACATTTACGAAAAAAATCATTCAAATTATTACAGACATCTGGTGGATGTGTTTGTCGTTTTCTGTAATTGTACATTTTCATCTGTCACTCCTCCACCTTTGCTCGATATAAATGGACAAATAGTGGCCAAAAGTCTGTCGACTATGTTCCCCCACCACATCATTCAGCAAAATATAATTTGATGGCCTGTCTTTTTAATTTTGTTACATAATTTCTTTGTTTCCTGAACAGGTTCCAGTTTTTGTCTGATTTACAAAGATTAAATTTACAAAATATTTTTTTTTATGATTTATTGCTTTCTGGAGTTTACCATTCATGAAAGGAGCACTGGTTTTTCTCTGATATTTTTGTTTGATTGGAATATGCTGATCAATAAGTTTTTCATTAGCCCAATAAACCACATTTGGGTCGTCAAAAATGTGGGCAACATGAAATGGTACCTGTTCGAGATCATATATGTCGTATTTAATGCTATGCTGTTGTGGAGAATTACGGACGTTAAAGCATGAGTATTAGTTTATGTGTGCTGTGACCCATATATCAGTATAGCATATGTGTATTTCAGACATTTGTAACGAACCCCTGTGCTAAGTCCCGGTGTTTCGTAGAGGTGACTCAGATTGTAAACCAGCAATTAATCAAAAAAAACACCTCAAACGATTTAAACAAAAAAATCCATGCTGAACCATACAGAGAGATGTGTTTCACTGGTATTTTTTTTTCTTTTTACATCAAATCAATTCTCAAAAAAATATTAAATCTATTTTGTAGTGCCATATCTGAATCCGCCTTATGGCATTCCTTCAGCTGCTGGCCACTGGATACGACCAGTGTGCAGTAGCCATCGGAGTGGTAGGGTTTACCTAACCTCTAATTGTGTAATTTGGCTGCATGGGTCAGTGCCGCCGACCTACTGATTGATCCATGCATGCAGACAGATTGTAGGCAGCAGGTGGACTAGCCCGGGTTTCCTCTGGCCCTGAGACCAGATCTAGACTTCGACATTTTGACAGATAGATGTCTGGTGCGGCACCTTTCTGTCAGAATGTCTAAGTCTGGTGTCGAGGCCAGAGGAAGGTCGGGCTACAGGTGGACTTACAAATCACCCTATTGACCACAGCCTTGCAGGTGGCTGCATATGGTCAAGTTAAGGGTGGCACGCCAGCTGATGTTCATCCACTGCAAGGATGTCAGCATTGGCTGGGCAGCACTAAACAAAGCGTAGCTGAATCGAGTCATTTCTGTACATATATAACAATTATTGTACATATGCTTACAGCGTAGCCATATTGACATCAATTTTGTGGACAACTTGTACACATTTTACACCTTTGTGTTCATATGCTTCACTGGTCATTTGTCTGATGAAGGTGACATTGTACGGTACATACTGTACCAGTCATCGAAACGTCACATAGAAACTCTTATTGGTTGTGTGAAAAGATTTTTTCATGACCCAAGAGGGTGTCCGATGCAACTATGATAACAGTTCATTGGCACTGTTTTACCAGGTCCGTTGACTTACTAACTAGCTAGGCTTGGTAGAGGTGGCAGATGGCTCCAAGCCGTATGTTGGGGTGGCTACCTTATCACTCAAGGTGGCCTCTCCATGCCTGGCCCTGGCAGGCATCGATTCCAAAAGCCTCCTGTTGGAATCTGGCTCTCCCTGCCTGTTGCTGATGGAGGCAGGTGTTAGTGACATTACAAGCCCTGGCAGGAGCAATATGGCCTCGCTCAGGAGGGTATAGTAGAAGATGTGTACCTGCTGGTAAGCCAGCGCATCATCAACTCCAGGAATGCTATCCCTTAAGTAAGTGCCTCCTGGCGTACACTGTACCCTCAGTTTCTCCAGTTCTACACAAATCTCTACATGAGTGGTGAGAGGGTTTCTTCCCCTTCACCTCATAACCAGGTTTATAGAAAGGGGATATGTGTCTAACCCTTCATCCATTGACACCATCATAGGAAGTTCTTGAAGATGGGAGAGCATCTTTCTTTATGGCTTATATGCCATGCAAGTTCAAATTCATTTATTACCTTAAGCTTTGCAGTTGATCAGTTGTATGCCATGCATATGTAGTTGGGTGATGTTATCAAGACCCCCACACCACTAGCATATCAGTGGTAAACAGCTTTTCACTTCTCAAACAGTATATTTTTTTTATACAATTACCGTTTTTAAAAATTAAATATAATATAGGTCATGTTTTTTGCAAACCCTCCTCTAGGGGTTGAACCTGGGACCTCTGGTTTACTAGTCTTAAGCTCTACCAAATGAGCTAAAGAGAATTCTCCCCAGCCGAGTCGGTAGAGAGGAGCTAGTATTTTACCAGGGTGACATATACACGCCCCCTCCCCCTCCCCCCAAGCAAAAAACTCATCCAGAGTTTTACAATGCCTCCACAAGGGTTCGAACCCAGGACCTCATGTTTACTTGTCTTTCGCTTGTGACATCATTAATTCTGCTGTGCATGTGTTATGTATCTATAACATTGTTGTGTCTGATTCTGTTTGTATATTGAAGAGTTGACCAATCAGACTATATGACTTTGAACATGAAGAATTGTTACTTGTACTGTTTGTTATTAATGATGATTTTATCTTGTGAAAAAGATGACAAACATCTGAGATGATTGATTCCTATTACCATGGTGAACACACCTATTCCACACAGCCTACGGTCAGAGGCGAAGAAAGCGGCCAAAATTTTACGTGGATTTACTGTTCCCACAGCAAGCATGGGCCCTGACAAACTCATTCCAGGTAAGTACTCTATCGATCTAGCAGATAGTCTTAATAGCAATAAATGGAATTTCGGATGATGCTGAAAGGCATTTTTACTTTTGTAAAATGATTATCTTGGAGCAAATATTTGTTTTAATAGCATATACCTGATATTTATATCATTACTTGGCACTATGCTTAATCTGGTTATTCGTGTTGTTGAAATACCTCACATTACCTGGTCTCAACCTTCTACAGTAAGATGCATGAAGTATTGTGTAAATGAAAGGCATAACCCCCCAACCCCACCGTAGTATGACTACTTCCTCACTAAGTATGAATGAAGGGATTTCTATTGCATACATGTACATTATTTGGAAATGAGAAAGGAGAAATATGATTTGATCCTTAAAAGACCTCTCTTTAAATACGAGTCCCTGACGTGATTTTCACTTAATATGGCATTGAGCATCTGTGGACCAACTTTAGGAATTCAACAAGAGGCAGAGGGATAGTACATGTACGGGTAAAGGGGGAATTAGAGGCGCATTTAAACAGATATTCTCCACCTTGAATACATGTGATGGTATATTGGAACTAATTTACACATGGATCATCCTCAGACTAAAATGATTCAATAGTGTTTAAAGGATGTTGACTCTCTGACTGGCTCTTGGTGAAAGAGCAACAGAGTCCAAAGGGGGGAAAAGGGGAAAATCTTTGATAGACTACTCGTGAAGTATCTATTAGGTGTAAGGATTTTGACCTAATTGGACTTGGAGCATCTCTGGGCCAAGGGAATTCATCTTTGCATCCCAACTTTTAACACTTTCATTTCACCTCCAAAGAGACTGCATACATGTATAGCGAAGGGTTTTATGGTATCACATTAAACCTTTTAACACCCTAGACCGAAATGGACTCATCCAGACCAATGCATGGTAGAGTTTACTTGAGTTTCATAGGGGTGAAAGGGTTAAACTCCAACATTGACTTTCAGTGGGCATTCTGCTGATGGCGAAGGGTTTTATGGTTTCACATTAACATTGACTTTCAGCTGGCATTCTGGTGAAGGCGAAGGGCCTGGCTATCCTGACAGTGTTTAAGGCTGGGTTCCTGGTGACAGCACGAGGCGGAAGTGGCATTGTCATTGCCAAGGTCGGGGATGACCTAGATGCAGGTACATTGTACATGTATGATAGAGATCAAATAATTAAGTAAAGATCTTCACAGTGATGATGTCTTCCCCTCTAATAAAAGGAGATATATGTTGTATTGCCTAACCAGTATTGGTTCTTTTTCTTGTTCGTTTTTTTCCTGACTGTAACTTTTAAACTGTTAGAAATATGTTTCATATCTGTGTAACTTAAAAAAGGTTTGATGTGTATAACCTAAGTAGGTCAGTTTGAATGTCATTTCAAGGTCAAAGCTCAAGTAAGTGTTAAATTTTAAGCAACAGTGTGCTCTGGCTGTGCCTTAACTTGTTAGCTCACCTGGTCCAAAGGACCAAGGTGAGCTTATGCCATACCGTGGCGTCCGTCGTCCGTCTGTCCGTCGTCCGTCGTCCGTCGTCCGTCTGTCCGTCGTCCGTCATCCGTCGTCCGTCTGTCAACAATTTCTTTAAACGACTTCTTCTTCTTAACCACTGATTGGAATTTAACTACATTTGACTGGAAGCATCCCTAAGTGGTGCGGATTCAAAATTGTACAAATTGTGGGGCTGACTCCCCAGGGGGCTGAGGGGCGGGACCAAAAAGGGTTATTTGGCTATATTGCTTTAAAGCGACTTCTTCTCTGGAACTAAGTGATGGATATCAACCATATTAGACTGGAAGCATCCCTAGGTGGTGGGGATTCAAAATTGTACAAATGGTGGGGCTGACCCCCAGAGGGCTGAGGGCGGGGCCAAAATGGGGCAATTTGGCTATATTTCTACAAAGGACTTCTTCTGTAGAACTATGCACTGGATATCAATCATATTAAATCAAAAGCATTCATGGGATGCAGGGATTCGAAATTGTACAAATGGTGGGGCTGACCCCCCAGGCTAAGGGGACGGGCCAAAAAAAGTGTGTTGCCTGGAAATGGTTGAGATCCCCACCATATAACCACATATACAATTGCTGAGTATAAAGAGAAGAATGAACATTTGCTTCCAGGATGGCCCTATATATACAAATGCTGGGCATAAAGAGACGAACCCTTGGAAACATAGTCCTTGGGCCATAACTTAAAAACAGTTGAGATACCCACCCCAAAACTATATATACAATTGTTGGGCATAAACAGACAAATGTAGTCATGATATTAGATTTGACCCCAGGGTTTGACCCACCCTTGCAGACTTAACCCCAGGTTCATAACTTTGAAACAGTTGAGATCCCCACCCCATAACCATACATAAAATTGCTGGGCATGAAAAATTGAATACAGATATATATGCTACAAGGATTGACCTCGGGGTCTGGCATATTCCCATGGATCTCATTTGGAGAATATTCTGCCATGATTGCTTAGATATCCAGGTGAGCGATACAGGCCCTATGGGCCTCTTGTAATAATTTAGGCAATGTGATATCTCAAGGTCGAACGTCAGATGTGTAGGAACTGAATTTTTAGAAACATCTTCAACTAAATTTTCAGGAAAAAAAAGAAATGAAAAAAAAGTAAAATAAAAAAAGCAAAAAGAAATCTGTTCAGATCCTGACCTTGTCATGAACCTGAACAATCATATTAAAAGAGAGTTGAAGGCTATTTCTTTTGCTTTACTTTCTCATATACCAGTAGTATATACTCAATTCAACGGTTGTTCTACATAAGTACTATAAATATATTTTCTTTCATATCTGTGCCTATAACTTTGGTTTATACAGAATATAATAGGAAACAAATTTACTTCTTACTACAATAATTAGATAAGTCTAGGTAGGTTTTACTATACAATAACTACTGATGTCTCCTCCAGAATGGTCGGCACCATCAGCCTTGGGCATTGCAGGTCTTGGAGGCGGATTTGAAATTGGCGCAGAGGTGTGTTATATGTATCCAATGTCAAAATGAAAGTCTTTATCTAATAATTAACCCATTGTCCTACTAAAGTTTTTGAGTATTTAAATTAACAAATATAAAAGGTGAGAAAGTTTTTCTATGTTGACTTGGCGCAGAGGTGTGTTATATGTATCCAATGTCAAAATGAAAGTATTTCTCTAATAATTAACCCATTGTCCTACTAAAGTTTTTGAGTATTTAAATTAACAAATATAACAGGTGAGAAAGTATTTCTACGTTGACTTTTTTTTGCTCAGAAAATTCAGAAAACATCAGAAATTGAAATTCCACCTTTATGTTTCCAGTATAAGATATGGGGCTATATTTATATTTTGAATTGCTTGGCTAGGACCAGTGCATGAAATATAATATCACACTCTGTCAGACTGCTCCTGATATAATCATCCTCTGTCATAGCCTTTTGCTATACTTGTATAATCATCCTCTGTCATAGCCTTTTGCTATATTAATGTTTTGTATTCCTCTCTTATCGTCAGGTCACTGACTTCGTCATCATCCTAAACTCACACTCATCAGTCGAAGCTTTCTCAAAGGGAGGTAATTTGACCCTCGGAGGTAATTTCTCAATAGCAGCGGGACCGCTGGGGCGTAACCTTGAGGCTGATGTAGCTTTGAGGAGCCCAGCGGCCATCTACACCTACTCCAAGACGAAGGGACTGTTTGCCGGCATATCGGTGGAGGGAAGTGCTCTCATAGAGAGAAAGGATGCCAATAAAAAGTAAAGTTTTTGTTACAAGTATTGAAAATCTTGTATTAATACAGGGTACTTTTCATGTCTCATACTTTTGTGGTGAGGTGAATCTGTATGTACACGGGAAACCTTGGTAACCAGACTAAGCAATTTACACACCCTAACATTCTCTTAGTTGTATATACACCATTACACAGGATTGTGTCGTATTGAAATCAAGCTAGAGGAGTGGTTTTGGTTTGGAGGAGCTTCAATGTCTATACACAAAGTCTTATGCCATTCATGTTCAATTAAAATGATGAGATTTGTTCAGAGTGCAACCATTTCATAAATATCTCATACATCAAATGCTAATAACAGACCTGACTGTCATTGATGTTGCATCTATGTCAGTTTATTTAATTTTTAGCTCACCTGGCACGAAGTGCCAAGTGAGCTTATGCCGTGGTGCAGCGTCCGTCGTCCGTCCGGCGTCCGTCCGGCGTCAATATTTTACTTTAATCAACTTCTTCTTAATAACCGAAAGGCCTAGGGTGATGATATTTGGCCAGTAGCATGCTGGGATGAAGGGCGACCAAGTTTGTTCAAATAAATGACCTTCACCCATTTTCAAGGTAACAGGGGTCAATTGTCTTAAAAAATCTTTAAACAACTTCTTCTGAATAACCAAGAGGCCCAGGCTGATGATATTTGGCCAGTAGCATGCTGGGATGAAGGGCTACCAAGTTTGTTCAAATGAGTGACCTTGACCTACTTCCAAGGTCACAGGGGTCAAAGATATTAAAATCTTCAAACAACTTAATTCTTCTCAATAACCAAAAGGCCCAGGGTACTGATATTGGGCCTGTAGCATGCTGGGATGAAGGGCTACCAAGTTTGTTCAAATGAATTACCTTGACCAACTTTCAAGGTCACAGGGATCAAATGTCGTAAAATCTTCAAAGGACTTCTTTTCAATAACCGAAAGGCCAAGGGTACTGAAATTGGGCCCATAGCATGCTGGGATGAAGGGCTACCAAGTTTGTTCAAATGAATGACCTTTTCCCACTTTCAACCTAATGTCCTTGTTCAACATTCGAGGTCACAGGCGTCATATGTTTAAATCTTTTGATAGGTTCTTATGAATCAAACACTGATATTCTGCCTGTAGCTGTTATTTAGTCCACTATTAAGATTACAAGTGTGAGATGAATACCAGATGAGCGATGCAGGCCCATATATCTATAGGGCCTCTTGTTTGTATATACAGTACATACTTTGGGGTTAAGTCATCATCATATGAAAATAAGGTCAGCTTGGAGACCATCCCGATATATGAGGGGGTAAAGTGGGGGCTCAAAATTACAAATACATCTGTAGTATCTTTTTGACAAAACTACATACTCTTTTATGAAGGTTTCTTCATAATTTTGATGTGTTCTACTGTGTAACACAATAATCAAAATGGCCAAAAAAGTAGCACATAGTTGATAAGTAGGTCACTGTGACCTTGTTATATATCAGCTTAATAATGTCAACAATTCTGCCTTTTTTGTACAATTTGTACTACTTTACCCATTCATATCTCGGAATGGTCTCAAAGCTGACATTCGTTTCATGTCATATATCATGATGGCATAACCCCAAGGTATGTATCAACAAAAACTGAAACTTATCAGAAGCACAAATTGGCACCCATCCTTTAATACTTCATACTTCTTAATTGATTTTAGATTTTATGGTCAGGATATCCGCGCCCACCAGATTCTGTCAGGTGAAGTTCCACGTCCGGAGGAATGCAGCGCATTGTACGAAACACTGGAGATGCACAGGAAGCAAGCAGAGAAACAGATGCTAGATATGGCTAAAAAAGCTGCCACCAAGCAAGCTCACACCATGGGGGAGAAACTGAAGAGCCGCTTTTCTGTATGTTACATATCAACTGAACACTAAATATAACTGAATTTAGTTGGTTCTTAGTTAGACAAGTTATCAATCAGAATCATGGTGATATATGGTCAGTAGCTTGCTGGCAATGAGTGCTACAAAAATTTGGAAATAAAATGACCTTGAACTACATTCCCAAGTAGTCAGGACTGACCTCCTGGGGGGGCTTAGGGGTGGGGCCGAAAAGGCATGGCTTGAACATGTTTGAAATTCCCCTACTTAAATAACACATCATGTATAAGCAATTGCAAGGTTTGAAAAGACGAAACAACCATGCTATCAGAATTGGTCCCAGTGTTTATCCCTGCCCCTGGGGACTTAATTAGTCTCTGGGTCATTAAATGGAAATGGTTGAGATGTCTATCTGATAACCACATGTACAATTGTTGGGCAATTAGAGATTAGGTAATGAAATCCTGATGACTGCTCTTCAGGATATGTTCATTGCACTACACTTAGAGACAGCTCAGAGCACCTGCATCCTATAACCATATATGTACTTACTGGACATGAAGAGACAAACACTACCATGCTACCAGAATTAGGTCCAGGGTCTGATCCCTCCCAAATGTATTACACAGATGTACTTTAAATGAGAACATTTTGTAATGATTGCATAAATGTCCAGGCGAGTGATAAGGCCCTCTTTGTCATTTGTTTAAATTTCATATTATGAAAAAATATTCAAAGGAAGCTTCATGTACTCTGTTTGACCACAAATAAGACCAGATCTGTTAAAAAGATTATTTTCTGTTGCTGAAAATTTGTCTCTCCATAGGGCTTGTCCGGATGATAACTTGAGAACAAATGTTCAAACAAAGTTCAGACTTGGTGGGTGGGTTGCCCTATTCCATGCATGCAAAGAACACTGCTGATTTGGGGTGTGGTCCGCCACAGGTCAAGGTCACCATTGCTGAAAATAGAATTCTGCTTGTTTTGGCTTTTCTGGATGATAACTTGAAAACAAATGTTCATACAAAGTTCAGACTTGGTGGGTGGGTTACCCTAGTGGCTGTGAAGAAAACTAGTGTTTTTGGCTTGGTCTGCCAAAGGTCAAGGTCACTGTTGCTTAAAAAATTATGCTGCCCCTGGTGGCTATCTTTTTTACATTTGTGTATTTGCAGATTTTTAATGTTAAATTGATTTTTTGTTGTTATTATACCATATCCTACATATTTATGAATTGTATTGATGCTTTTTAGAGCACAAAGTCCAGGTCTGCAAGGCCCGGCTCTGATGATTCCATGTCTAAGTATAGCCTTCCCGCATCATCATCACACTACAGTCAGGATAGCAGTGATGAGGAATCGTCCAATCCAATGGATCGGTATAGTTTACCTAAGTCTCACTCTAGACACAGTGTTAGTGAGGGTGACTTCTCAGAGTCCAAGTACAGCCTGCCAAAATCCTCAGACCCTGGGGACAAGTACAGCATGCCCGAGTCAAGGTCAAGGTCACAGTATAATCTTTATGGCGGTTCTGAACTATCCACTGACGACCCCATGTCTAAGTTTGACCTCCCTTTTGCCATGCCCCGAGCTCAGTCCTGTCGATCCGTACGTACTGTCACACAGCACTCATCAACCAATGGGGGGTCAAAGACAGTCGTAAAGCGCACCGTCCAGAGTCGCACCACTCGGACTTCATCCAAAGGTCAGTTCAAGGTCAAACAAGATAAAGGGTTTCAAATGAGTTTCCATTTCATATGAGTTGTACATGTATGAGTATGAATTTTTTTTGTCTTTTCCAACTTTCAAATTAACATCGAAAAGTTGTTTTTACCAAACAATCAGTATCCATAAGCTAGGAAAACTACATATCTAATGCATAAAGCACTTGGATATGGCAGTTGAAATCTACAAATAATTTAATTAACTTAAAGCATAATTAAGGTCTTAAAAGTAAGTGTGACTAAAAAGTAAAACTCTTGACATTCTATGACAATTTATTGTTATTTTTTAGTTCATTATTTGTTTGTTTAAATGTTTTTCGAAAACCAGGATCTGAAGTGGTGACCTCGCAGGATGCCTGGTCAAAGGTGAATGTTACACCAGGAAGGGGCATTGCTAATTTTGCATATGAATCACAGCTTCCTTGTGACATTTCCTTCAGAAAAGGTACTTACCTACGTCTATAACACATGAGGCTGCTGGTCGGCATTTTGATAAAGCTTATGCTATGCCTACTGCAACCTCTTATTTCCAAAGCACTGTTTCTTTGATGCAGTTTCTGCAAAAAAAATTGGGTGGAACAAATTGGCCCTTCACTGACTGTTTCACAATGTGGCTGCCTGGCTAGATACTAAATAACAGGAGGTGGGGGTTCAAAAATGATGCAAAAATATACTTGGAAATCACACCGTATTTTCCAATTTCGCTACAACCACTTTTTTTGCTTCACTTCAAAAGAAAGAAACATCATTATTTATGTCTTTGACACAGAATTCTTCTGATCTATGAATGGATTTGTGGAAAGAAATTTGAAATATTGGACCCTGTTGAACTTTTAAATGTAAGGACACTATATTTTGTCATAAATCTTAACTTTGAAAATTTAGTCGTTAGCATTTGGGAAATCGGCCCTGGGAAGTAAGAGGTTACACAGTGCCTGTCAAAAGTATTTGTTACCTTGTTAAACTTATAACATTTTTGGAAAAGAATTGACCATTACATTATATGTATGAATAGGTCATGTCGTTGGATCCGAGTGTATTATATATTTATCATATATTCATGATGCTGTGCAAAATTAATCTGTGCTAACAGTTCATTTCTTAACTGTTGAAATATTGTAAAATGAATTCCATTTATATATCAAATTGATACATATATGCTTTAGACTATATTAACTACAGTATATACTACTGTATTTGTGACTGGGTTTTACCGATTCATTTCTATGTATAATAAATGTTGTTTCATTTCAGGAGAAGAAATCCTCATTTTGACTCGGACACAGTCTACCGATGACTGGTGGGAAGGCACATGTAGAGGGAAAACTGGTATCTTCCCTGCCAATTACATCACTGTCAAGTAACAGTGTAGGAACTTTGTTATGTTGAAATAATAGACGAAACATTGAGTGGTTGTCTGTACTACCTCTGCCCTCTGACTTCCTATAATTATGTTCCATGGTTGTATGAGAGAATTTGATTGATTCCAGAGTCATATGATGGGCCAACTGTGATAAAATTCTTACTGGTTACATTGTAATATAAATCTGTGTCTTTTATGATTTATTGAAGAAACACATGCTTCAGTAAAGGTGTTGTGGTCTTGTAACATACATTGGCTGTGCTGCAAACTCAACGGTAATAAAGTCTGGCGAGTAACTTTGTCAGCAATATTGTATCAATTGTATATCCAAGTACTGTATAGCGCTTTAGAGTGGCTTATGTTAGCTAGATAGGGTGCTATATCAAATGCTGTATATTATTATTTTTAATAGCAATGCAGGCTGTAAGACAACATTTGACAATTCCGCAATTAAATTTCACGATTATATAATCAGTTTATTAAGTTATTTGAACAGCAAAGTCAGTGTACAGACAACCAGATCATGGACATAACAATATATATAATTGTTACCTAAACAAATAGCTTACATTCCTCACTCAACATGATATTACATTCTCTGTGCATTGCAATGGGCGTATGATATGCTGAGCAACATAATATGTTTTGACAAATACACCGGAGTTGTGACCGTAATGGTAGCCTGCCAGGTGTTGTATACTATGTACCTAGTTCTGTAGTACGAGCCCAAATCGGGAATCCTCGGTACTTTATGTAAAAAAGTGTGTAGTTCCTGATTGATACCAGCCCCTGTACGCAAGGCTACCATGGATTGTCTCCCTTGTGTATTAATGATTGATACTAGCCCCTGTACGCAAGGCTACCATGGATTGTCTCCCTTGTGTATTTAAACATTATTTATTTTTACATTTCATTTGGGGGGTTTTCTGACTTATTTCAAGCTTGATTTGTAAACTATTGTAAATATCAAAGCTTTTGCTTGAAATTACTTTGATATAATAATTTCATTTATGGATTTTTTTTCTATATATAGAAATACATATATAATTATATTTTTAAACAGTATGCACAGGTCGTGAAGGTCATTTGCTGATTGACCTGTACAAGTTTAAGTGACTTGTCATGTACGAATTATGCCAATGAAAAGTTGTATAACTGTTGATAAAAATGTGCAAAATTGTTTCACAACAGGCAGCCATTGTTATGTTTGATGAAATAATGTCCGTCTACGCAATAAATAATTTTAAATCAATATTAAACTGATACATCAGCAAGTCATTCCATATGTTCTCCCCTTTCTTTACTTAAACTGAGCCAGAGATTCAAAAACTCTGGAACATTGTACAAGATGTGTGTTGTATGTTATTTGTCTAGGACTTTTCTCTCCAGTTATCAGAAGGGATTTCAGCAACGCACTTTGTGGAAATCGTAAGTTGAGGCCATGACTATAGTTTCTGTTTGGGCCTTGATTAACCCTTTCACCACTGTAGACCATAATGGACTCATCCAAATCAATGCATGGAAGAGTTTACTAAAGTTACATAGGGGTGAAAGGGTTAGTTGGTCATTTATGACTGTAGGTTCAACTCTACTGTTAGATGTCCACCCATAGTTACTGTATGACTATCTACACAAGTACATACAGGTGTTACATTGTATCTTTGCATTACTTTCATGTTTTATTAATTAATTATGTGGCTAATATAAAGAATATAATTTTGTATTGAGGAAATGATATGTAGACCAGTTAGCTTTACAAGATCTGAGCTAAAGCAATAGTTGTGAAGATTTGTTGACATTGTGGTTCTTAACCCTTTCACCAGTCACCACTGTATACCATAATGGACTCATCCAAATCAATAGATGGAAGAGTTTACGGAAGTTACATACTAGGGGTTAAAGGGTTAAACTATAGCGAAGTATTGTCTATGACTATTGGTATACAAGTGTTTTACCTGTACACAATGTACTAACTACTTGTTACTGTGAGTAAGTTATAAGTTATCACATCACTGAGTGGATGTGCTTTTTTATATATTTTTTTATATTTTTAAGATAATACATTACGTCTCCTACATTTTTTTTTTTTTTACAGATTTTCAAATGATCAGAGAATTAAAATCAGAGAAAATCTGAATTTCTTAAATGCTTGGGTTGATGTATAAACAAGATATCCATGACCTACTAATGAGTATTTACATTGATTTATGTCCAATCTTGTGAATATGTTCTCAAATATGTTTACTTGAAGCTTACAGCATAACTTATACTAAAGGATAAACTCACTCACTCGGGTATAACCATTGTATTTGTCTGATATGTAGGTTGTTGGCATACACATTACATTTACAAGAAGGTGTTGACCTACATTGAGGTTGTTGATGTACCAGGTACATTAAGATTGTTGATGTACCAGGTACATTGAGGTTGTTGATGTACCAGGTAAATGAGGTTGTTGGTGTACCAGGTACATTGAGATTGTTGACCTACTAGGTATATCGAGATAGGTGACCTACCAGGTACATTGAGGTTGTCAATGTACCAGGTTCGTTGAGTTTGTTGTCATACCAGGTACATTGAGGTTGTTGATGTACCAGGTAAATGAGGTTGTTGGTGTACCCGAGGTACATTGAGGTTGTTGACGTACCAGGTACATTGGGGTTGTTGACGTACCAGGTACATTGAGGTTGTTGACGTACCAGGTACATGGAGGTTGTTGATGTACCAGGTACATGGAGGTTGTTGATGTACCAGGTACATCAACAACCTCAATGTACCTTGTACATCAACAACCTCAATGTACCTAGTACGTCAACAACCTCAATGTACCTCGGGTACACCAACAACCTCATTTACCTGGTTCATCAACAACCTCAATGTACCTGGTACATCACCAACCTCCATGTACCTGGTACATCAGCAACCTCAATGTACCTGGTACATCACCAACCTCCATGTACCTGGTACATCAACAGCCTCAAGGTACCTGGTACATCAACAACCTCCATGTTCCTGGTACATCAACAACCTCCATGTTCCTGGTACATCAACAACCTCATTTACCTGGTACATCAACAGCCTCAATGTCCCTGGTACATTGAGGTTGTTGATGTACCAGGTACATTGAGGTTGTTGACCCAACGTGAACAAAGAACTAACATGGTATTATAAGTTGTTACACTTATTTTCTGTGCCATTATATTTATACATATATTGTTATTTCACTAATTAAATGATGAATTTGATGGAAAAGTTGTTTGTATATATTTGAACTTTGTGAAATAAAAACAATATGATATCCAAAGTGATATTTAAGGATCCCTGTCTCACTGCTTTGAAGTTTGTCTATGTAGAGTAACTTCCCCTTTACTTCCACTTAAGGTATAACTGTAACACAGTTTGGCCAGTGCACTATACAGAGCTATAGTATAACGATCTGAAGTCCAGGGTCCGTATTCGTGAAACCGTTCTCATGCTCAAGTATGGAATTTGTGCTCGAGCCTAATTTCTTTTTCCCGTTATATTTTTTTTTTTTTTTTTTTTTAAATTAATTNTAATGATTTGGAAAAACATTGAGGAGACTAAAAGTTGAAAACTGTTTCCAATGTTTACATTTGACTTTTTGATCGCTTGACAAGATTAAATCGAGTTACAAGAAAGTTGGTTTGAGCACAGAATCCATGCTAGAGCATGAGAACGGTTTCATGAATATGGGCCCAGGGTTCGAATCCCAGACCCGTTCCAGCTTAATTTTTACTCTCAGTCCACTGTTGTTGTATATATTTTGTTTAGTATATCTACTTTTTTTCTCACATACAAATCCCGCAAGGTACATTTTTCAATTCAGAAATGATTCATCAAAACTATAGTCATGTCGGTAAAAACGGTTTCCGATACTAAGTTACAGTTTTTGGCAGTGGTATGGGGATCCTTAAAAGTTTTAAGAAAATGCATGCATCGTCATATACAATAAGTTTATCCATGTACAGTAATTAATGTCCACCTTTGGGGATAAACATAGTCCATTGAAAAGTCCATTGAAATTTTACTGACGTATCACTTCCAAAAACTGTAAATATGCATTGGAAACTTTTTCAGTCACGATTATAGCTTTGATAATTATCACTGCTGAAAATTAAAATAAGATAAAAAATACAACTGGGTTGGATCAGGATACGAACCCTGGACCTCCAGTCCATTACACTCAGACCAACTAAGCTACTTGATCAGGGTCAGTAATTCAGGGGCGTTTCTAGGATATTTGAAAGAATCAAATCTTTTGGGACATTTTTTTTGCTAAAAAAACGTAAAATAATTGTGAAATGCACTAATGTAACGGTTCCTGATTTCACTATATCACATGGTCAACAACAATGCATACTAATCGCAGAGTCGAATACGGCGGAGAAACGAAATTTTACGGATCGCCCATCGGATGGGGGAATCAGTATAAAAAAGACATCAGAGTATGTGTTTAATTAATGAATATGATAAATTGCCATATTCGATACAATATTAGCAGATTACGATATTATTTGTTTGTTGTTGTTTTTTTGAAAGGAGGGGGGGGGGGGGGGGGGNGTACGCCCATTACGCCCTCACCTGGACCCGCCCCTGAGTATCCCGACTTGCTACAGTTATATTAGGCGAAATGTAAACTACAGTGGTACTATCAAGCTACTGTTTTGCTTGCAGTGAGACAATGGTCCTTCATTGATTAACCTTCAGTGAATCATCACCCCGGGGGTTTTGTCCTCAAGGATTGTTACAGATCATGTCCCTAGGCGTCTTGTCATCAAGGAAGATATGATTGCAACCGCAGGGGCGTTTCTAGGATATTTGAAAGAGGGGGCTAAAATCAAAGTTTTCGCCGAGCGGAGCGAGTCAAAAAAAAATGGACCTTTTTTTTGCTAAAAAAGATAAAATAATTGTGAAATGCACTAATGTAACGGTTCCTGACTTGGAGCATGTATATTTTATACGGCGGAGAAATGAAATTTTACGGATCACCCATTATGAATATGATAAATTGCCATATTCAATAAAATATTAGCAGATTACCTCACCTGGACCCGCCCCTGAACCGTGATGTTCTTTGGGAATTGATCGTCGAGAAGCACATTTGCTCCAAATGCTCACTAGGGCTTTGTCCTTGAGGAGCATATGGTTGCAAAGAATCATGTTTCCCTGGAATTATCCGCCAGAGGAACATAAAAATGCAACAGATTTTCGTTTTCCCCTTGTATTTCCACGTAGAACATTGTTGCAATGAAAACAATGCTCATTCGGCCTTTGTCGGCGAGGAGCATATAGCAGATTAATTATACATAGTTCCCCGTGGTTTTTTCTTCAGCATAGTTGCAACAAATTATGTTCCGTGGAGCTCCGTCTTCCAGGAGCCTTCAGCAGGAATAAAAAAAACAGGACCTTAACCTAATATCATTTCTTGTGCGATAATAATAATTCACATAATGTATACGTCTCCCACCGAGGCAAAGGTCGGTGGTAAGCCTAAATTCGCATTGTGTTAAAAAAGATCAACAAAATATTTGTAAAGTCTAAATTTATTTTGTTTCTTTCAGTACTTTATAACACATAGAAAACGGTTCATACAAGTAATTCCTCACCGAACATCAGTCCTTTTTGAAGGGAATGGTAAGGTGCACTTAATTCCTATCCAGTATTAAAACTCGAAATAAAGTAAGTCGTTTATTCCGAAACCATTTTCCTATAATAGAGGCACATGGATGTAAGTAAATAAATCCAAACAATCATCTTAACAGCATGCAGATAGCAAATGACAGTTGTCACAAGAAATCAACGTCGAGCGTTTCTTCTGGCATTTAAACGTCTGATCTGCTATTTCCGATCCTGAACTATAGGCCTAATCACAGGGACCTGAGATTTTTTTACAACTCTATTTGGACCTAAACTAGGATGTTTTAGGGGTTTAGATTAACTTTCGGTAAAATTGACACCCACAATAAATGATCATATAACCGAGAAGGGCAGAAATTAAAGCTCTCGATGTCGAAATGTCGACCCAACCTAACTTACAAATACAGCTGTAACAAATTATCAGGTCCCTGTGGGCCTCATCTATAAGGATGGTTACCATGTCATACTGCTGGATAGTAACACCGTCATTAAAACCATGACGAGACTAGGGATGACCACGATCCCTATACCGCCCGTCACCTCGATGTCTTTGGAAGGTCTCCGGGTCTTATCACAGGTACAAACCCCAGTTATGCTCGGTCTAGGGACGTCTGTACAGGTTTCATTGGTCAGCTGGTCAATGAGACACACTGTCTGGAAGGGATTCGAAACGTTTGCAGGATGACCACAAAATGGGCACGTGGTATCACTGACCCCGTCCGGTGATGTCCAGTTCTGAAGGCCGCATGTGGTCGCTAATTCCATTAAGTTTTGAGAAAACCCTTCGAATGCAATACTTTGCAATGGATTCCTCTCGTCCCATTCAAATGTATTGTCACTCAGTCTTTTAAGTCCAACGATGACGTCATTGCCCGTGCTGTATACTGCGTGCGTAACCGAACAGCGTTTGCGCGGCCACACACCTTCCACCGTGATATTAGCGCCAATGGTGCTGTTGTCTGAACGAAGAACACAGCTGACGGCAAATATGGAGTCGACCCTGTCGGGAGCCACGCTTATGTTTAGGATCTCTCTGCCGTACACCACGACGGCGGGTATGGACAGGAGCTCCGTCATGCTGTGGAACTGCCAGTACCGTACAAAACAGCAAGTACCACAGCCTACAAACAGAAGCAGACACAATACTATAAACCACATCGACCGCATCCTCACAAATTCTCACAGATACCCTCGCTTGTGACTACTTAGAAGGGATATGTAATTCCTTTTCGGAACGTTCACACTCACAAAAACCCGTTACGGATATTCTGCGAATTAAGGTCGATGTCTTTTCGGAAGAGGTATTTTGTTCCTACTCGGAAAGTCCACATCCACGACAATCCGTTACGGGTATACTCTTGGCATACTGATAGGCCGATGACTATTTAGAAGAGGTGTATATAGTTCCTTCACGAAAAGTCTCCATCCATGACAATCCGTTACATATACTCCTCTACGGAAAGAGGCCAGAGATCTTTCGAAAAGGTGTGTAGTCCATACACAGGATGTCCACATCTGCGGTACTTGATAGATTTACAGGTCAATCATACACCTGGATCACACTCGCCAACACATTTCAAGCAGAATGTTAATCTGCAACTTCCTTCACTTAAACTTGTGTGTATTTCCTCACAACATACACTTTAATGGACAGAAGATCACTTTAGAATCCATTGCAGCACCACCAGCTGGAGAACGGTTTCATTTGACCAGCCGAAAACAATTGGCCATATTCATCCCGTCTATTGTTGTAAATAACTGTTTCAGTTTTAAAATTGTCAACTCGTCAAATATTAAAAATGAGTATTTGTAAATCGCCTGATATATGTAATGTATTGTTTCGTTTCTTGTCTTCAAACAATATATTTCAATTAATTAATACGAGATTCTGCAAACATCTATAATGACCTTTAAAACATTCAACACGAAAACTCTGCAAAAACCTTCACTATAAGCTGACCAGGCCGTTATGATATTTGATCTGGACGTTGATCCATAAACACCAAACAGAGACCCAAATGCCACTTATATAACGGCGTCACCTGAAACAGGTACGAAATTAAGGTTTATTAGATACCAGCCGTCACCTTACACGGATTATCGGTACGACCAAGTTTATAGATTAACTAGGTTAATTCGTTTTATTGTAATATAGGATTTGAACCAGCTGACACAATTCCATTTCATAGCTAAAGCTGACCATTCATACAAATCCAGTTTGGTATAATATCAGCAAAGACCAGTTAAGTGGTTGACAGTAAAAATACTTGTTAAGAATACAAAGATATATAACTTTCGGTTTAGGAGGACAGTGAAGAGCAGGATTTTTCATGGAATGCGTATATAATACTTTAGCACATGGAGGGGGAGATGAATCTCAATAGGTAAACAAACAAAAACAAGAGAAAATTCCGAGACATCAAGGTAGACTAACGCTTGAGATGTTTCTTTACAATCAACATCCAAATGATCATGTATAGATTACATATTGCGCGGGAGTTTAGAGAAAATTCTGAGGTACCAATCAAACTGATATTTGAACTCATCATCGATATTACTAGGGCAAAAATGAATAAGGAAAACTTTACATGGAGATCTTAAACAATTAGAAGTGAATGAGACCAGGTATTCCGGAATGGAAAGCGTCTTCTGCTTCATCGAAGACCTCCACTACAAAAGTCTTTGACGAATACAAGTGTAGCGGAACTGGACTGGGTCGATCGTCGGCGACCACGTAGCTCAATCGGTAGAGCATCCGTCTAGAGTTCGGAAGGTCCTGGGCTCGAACCCCGGTCTGGCCGTGCATTTTTCCTCTCCTGTTACAGTGTGGTGCATGTGACCAATCCTTGTTTCAAGCATTTGGTGTATGCTTGGCAAGGGGATACCCGAACCTGGGTAATGTCACGTCCTCAGCATGCGAACTGGGTTAATGACAAAGAAACAGCAAGGCCACTAATGACCATGATCAACAAACATCGACCTGTATATCGGGACCGTGGTGGTCGAGTGGTTATCTATGTCGGTACCGTGTCAACACTCTGTTTTTGAGACACGTGGTCCATGGTTGATACGGTGATGGATTTGAAATATGCCGCGATGAACTTAGTTGATCTTGAATAAACTATCCCGTTTCTTTATCTGATGGTGTACAAGCTAGTTGACAGTGCATGGCTTTATGTTCCTGTTTATGCTTCCCTGTTTCTTTACACATTTCATTTATAAAACGTTGTGTTCACATCGAATATCAATAAAATCGATTGAGGCGTTTTGGAATAGTAATTTTATAAAGGTTGACCGAAGAATGACAGACAGACAGAAAAGCCTTCTTGTCTTTCTGTGTTTTTCGTGTTTAAAATAGTATTTTACCACCTTAGTTATACCAAGTAAAACCATTCGGAATACTGAGCTGGGTGCCTTCGGCATAGTATTTCATTGAAGTAGCACTCTAAAAGTACACCAATATACCGCTTGCAGCACACAGACACGCATACGTTAGATTTACCTTGATTAACCTTGACATTGGTCATTTCACAACTGTGCATAATTTTAAAATGTTGAACGACATCGGCTCAATCTCGTCTGTAAAATAAAGTTGGTGCACCCAAAATTCTTAAACGATTCTCGTGAGATCTGTTGCTTAACCCAGTTACTAATTTTGTAGCACGTCGTTGAATTTATTATATTGCTATAGGGTATCCTTTTTGTACAGGGGAGACTATATTACACTTCCGTATTCCTTATGTGGTAGAAAAGCAAAACGTTACTATCATGGAAAAAGTATTTCCTTGCATTGCCCAGGCACGTAAAAGGGCTTTTAATAATTCCCGAAGCTTTTTTTTGCATTTTTCACGTTCATAGCTATGTGATCGTTGAGCTTGAACTCATGATCAAACACCACACCAATGTCTTTCTCTTGGTTGAAATTCTCCTGTCATTGGATACTGCGTCTGAAAGCTATCCCTACCTAACTGCATGTATTTACAATTCCCAATATCAAAACGGAGTTGCCATGTATCTGAGCATTCCACAAGGCGATTCAGATCCTCCCGAAACCGACGCTGTCTTTAGGGTTAGTTACTGATTTATATAGTTTACGATCGTCAGGAAAGATATTTATTGTCTTACGCACTACATCTGGGAGATCGTTTACTGATGTATACTATATAAAGACTCGTCCTCGATACTCCAGGGGTTACGCTCACTTGCGCTCTCTGCACCCCTTAAAATCAAAGGCGTGACCACTTTGTGACTTTGAGGTACCTCAAAATCTGTCGATCGCGAGACGGTAAAATTGACTGGCTTTGAAATCGGATGTCGCCGCTCTGTACTTTTCAAACGATAGGTATCAGCCAAAGTTACATCCTCCCAGTCTAGACGTTGTCTACGGTTTGACAGAATTAATTCAGAGCGCAAGTAACAACGGTATCACTGAAACGTTTTGGCAAAATATAAATTAATGTTATCAATATCGTCTCCTCTCACAAGAATCTCCGAACAGTGGTCCACAATATCCAAAAATTGTGTACACAGGAGTGTTTAAGACAGTTGCTGGATATGTTGAAGTTGAAGTTGCTAACTCAATATAAATTTTCATAAACTCCCGCGCAATATGTAATATATACATGATCATTTGGATGTTTGATTGTAAAGAAACATCTCAAGCGTTTGTCTACATTGATGCCGGATGTTGTGAATCAGCCTATCTGGCCGTCGATTGTCCTCAGGTCAAGTAAAACAAGTTTTCTCCTACTCTTGCAATTGGTGTAAGTTGGTAGTGTTCCTATTGTCATGTCCAGGACCATATCAAACTTTGAGAGAGAGAGAGAAAGATATGTACGGTACAATAAAACATATTGGAATGATGCAATCCACGGAAATAGACTAGTTTTGTTGTGGTGCATCGGTTAGATTTAAGATTGCTCGAAAAGTCCAATCCCAGCAGTTAAAAAAGGTCTTGTCCCAGGCTTTGGAGTAAAGGTGTTACACTTCTCCTCCGGCAAATATTGTGGCACGCCTCTTGCCTGTTCAACAAGCCCCCAGGCCCTAAAAGATGTTGCACAAAATTCTAACTCTCTGACAGTTATAAGTCATATTTAAAGACCCCAATAAAAAATAAAAACTTACATATATAAGTTGAATATCATGAACTTGTATATTAGCTATTAAACTGGTACAAAATGAGTTCAACGTCAAAGATCAGGCATTGAGCTTAAGCGGAAAAATAGTACACGGCCAGACAGGGGTTGGAACCCGGGACCCTCCAATCACAGGTACTAGCTATAGCCTCGTCTGAAATTAAACCTATAATATGATTTATATATTATAGGTGTATTGAGAGTCCCCCTGACTGGTGTCAGGGAAGGTCTTATTAAAATTTTAAATAAAAGAAAACTGTGATGGTTAACTTGATTAACTTTAATCAATGCTACTTTTGTCATATTTTTACAGAAGGTCCATACAAGATGGGAAATGCCGGTCCCTCAGGCCCTGCTGACATGGAGTCTGCAGAAGCCAAGTATATACAACAAACTGTCAAAGACAACTGTGTGGTCATCTTCTCCAAGTCATACTGCCCCTATTGTGATGAGGCAGACAAAATTTTCAAAAGGCTTCAAGTGCAAACCACAAAAATTGAACTGGATGACAGAAAAGATGGAGAAAAATTGCAGAATATACTAGGGCACATGACAGATGCATATACTGTAAGCTTTGGTTATCTGCAATCAGAAGATATAATTTAAACTAAATGTGTGGTGGGCTATGCTTTAGAGATGTTGATCATGATCTGATATTAAAGCTGGTAATATTTGATTTTTTTTGTAAGAGGGATGCCAACCTAGAGTAAATGTTTGACAGATTTACATAGCCCAGTTGCCTACTGCCTGATATCAGGTTAAAAGGGGAAGTAACCTAAACTAAATGTTCATTGGGGCCACTTTTGTTGAACATGTTCCTAAATGAGCATTTTGCTGAACCAAAGTTTTTATTAATCAAAGAAATACTATAGTTGTCCCATTATTGTCTCTGGCAAGACATGCATTAACATTTTTATGAACTCTGAGTCTTAAAACTTGACTGTATTGCCATTCTGAAAAATGAAAATCCTCCTCTTAACCATCACCTGATCGGCCGAATAGGGGGGAGACAACCTAGCCTGATAAGCTTAGCATGAGAGGCTAAGGACAACTAAGTCATATATGTCATTACTTAGCTTTTGAGCTAATAGCTTTAACATTTGAAGTTCAACACTAGTGACAACGGTCTAGATTCATAGATACATATCTGACAAAAGGCTTCAAAAGGCATTTTTTGGCAGGTGCAAGGCCAAAAAAAAAAGGTGTCTGTTTAAGGTTCCCGACCGACCCAAGCTTTTTACCCCCGACCCAAATCTTTTTGATGATTTTTTTTTTAAAAACCCGCTGATTTTCGAATTTTAAAAGGTTCTTGCCTTTCAAAATGGCTTCCAGCTCCGTGTTGGCGCTAAATGTCATCCTATGGAGCACAATTTGCCTCCTAATGAACCTTGTTATGTAATTCTTTGTTTTAATTACAATAGTAAGGTCATAATCACATGACCAAAAATATACAAAAAAAATTAGAAAAATCTGACCTACCTACCCTAGTTTTTTTGCCCATGCAACCCTAAACAGGCCTAATGGCATAGAGGCTTTAAAAGGCATTTTTTGGCAGGTGTAGTGGCATATATAACAGCACTTACTGCAGGCAGCTAATGCTTTTGACAACCAGAAGTTTACAAGCCAAACGGGTGAAGCAGAACAGGATCACCCCCTAACTTTTGACCCGATATAAAACCACCATCACATATCAAAATCTTCTAAAATATACGTTTATCCAAAGTTAAATATCTGTAGATTTTATTCAATAATATATGTCAACAATTTAAATATTACTCATTTAGTATTTATCCAGAACAAATGTTAGGTATAGGAATAACAATTGTATGAAATACTTGCTGATTTAGTTGTGCGAGTCCTTAAAACTTGGACAAAAGTATTTGGTGGACCACTTTGCTAAAATATGAAACAAGATGGTTCAGCTACTCTAAATGTCAACATTCTAAACATGTTTCCAGTCTATCCTGTTTTGGTATTTTTCAGCACAGGGCTAAAACTAGCATATGCTTCTTCTGTCCCTCTTCTGCTGTGGTCATTATTTTAGCCATGACATCCACATCTATCTGTGCCTTTCTTATAGCCACAGCAACCCTCTATCAGTTTCCATTCCACAGTATATCTATGTCTTTTTTGGTCCTCCCCTCTCCCCTCTTGAATCATTCAATAATGTTTTTGAGATGTAATTATTTTCGTGCATCATCATATCTTTGATATTTCAAGTTTCACTGTACATGTGTTCCTCCAATTTCAGGTTCCTAGAGTGTTTGTGAATGGAAAGTGTATCGGTGGCGCTTCAGAGACCAAACAGCTACACAAGAAAGGACAGTTGGAAGAACTTATCAAACAGTGTGGGATGTGTAGCTGAGGATTTGGAGTCTGAACATATTTGTCACAGTTTAATTATCAATACCAACTCTACTCAGGATGTGTACCAAGTCCTTTTTAATTGGTTAACTGGATCATTGTTTATATGAAAAGAAGATATATATATATATATATACAATATGGGCAAAGAAGTAGTAACGACAAAGCTGTATTATTGTCTCATGGTGAATGTTTTCTGTTCTATGTTGTGATATGCAAATTTTCATGTTCCTGTCTTGATAGAGGAGCAGATCGCCATGAAAGTTTGACAAATTTCTGTGTCTGTACTGTTGTTATTACTTCTTTGCCCATATATTCTATTTTAGTAATACACATCCAACCAACATTTATTTGTTGGGATCCAGTGCCAATATTGGATCATACTGTCGTTATTACTCATGAGACCTATATATATAAGAAGCACCACATGCATCATGTTAACATCCCTAAAACAATGTTAACATATCTAAACCAGTGCCTATAGAACAAGCGTTATTGTGATACACAATGGTATATAAAGTATAAATCTTATTCATATTTAGGAAGTCACTTAAACATTATTGTACAATCATATTTTAATGAAAAGTACCTTGATAGAAACATGTCTTTTTTGGGTGTACCCATTTAACCAATGGTAATAAAGATATTATTGACTTGTTTTGTATTGTGCAATAAACTGTTCATTACATGTACTTTTTAAAATAGTCTGTTATGCATTATATATTAAATTATCTCTTCTTGAGATTAATAGAATCTCCCCTACCTTGAGGGTGTGACAGAGAAATCTCCTACCCGAGGGATGATTTGTTTTGGTTGTCTAACTTGAGGTTTTGTTGCACCCTCAAGGTAGGGGGTGATTACTTTTCTCCCGTCCTGTTATTTTAGTCACAACTCTACCAATATTAGTCTTTCATGTTTGTTAACAAGAATACATATGGGGTATAAATATCATCATACAATTTTGATGTCACCAATACCGGATACACATTTAAATGATGTCATAATTGAACACATGCTAATTGGATGAGGCTATCTCCCCCTAGGGGGTGACAAGCTGTTCTTTCCAGGCTAATATGGGAGACACACCTGTGACGGGTGGGAGAAATGGTAATCACATATTTGAGATGAGATCAGTAAGGTATCATGAGACATTGATATCTGAGGATTGTGGTGTGCTGTGGGAGGTGGATATTTAAGGGTAGCAGTGCCATTGTCCATCTGTCTGTGCAGGTCAACATTCTGATGACTTTTTATACGACCCTCAAATTTGACGGTAGTATTATGGTATGGCGTTGTCCGTCCGTCCGGCGTAAACTTTTGTTTGTCCGGTAATCTCCTCCTACATTTTTCGACTGATCTATTTGAAACTTGGTATACATTATAATCATGATATGAAGTTGTGTCTCCCTTAAAAAGATTTTGATTCACCAATTATTCCAAAAGTTATTGCCCTTTGTTCATTTCAGTATTTGAATTTTGTCCGCAGATCTCCTCCTACATTTTTTGACCGATCTCTTTGAAACTTGGTATACATGATAATCATGATATGAAGTTGTGTCTCCCTTAAAAGAATTCTGATTCACCGATTTTTGCACAATGTATTGCCTTTTGTTCATTTCAGTATTGGATTTTTTGTCTGTAGATTTTCTCCTACATTTTTTATAGCATATCAGCTAACCACTCTTAGAATGATGCAGATCTTATTTCAATGTAAGAAAGTATATAAAACTATATGGCATTCGACGGGCGTATTTTGTTCCGCCCAGCGGTACTCTTGTTCTTCTGAACTGCTGAACAGAATCTCACCAAAATTGACTGCAAACATCTTTAGGTGGTACATTAGGGTGCTGAGGGATGGACATAAAAGAGGTCATTTGGCCATATTGCGTTAATTGACTTCTCTGGAACTATGAGATAGATATCAACCACATTAGGTTGGAAGCATTCCAAGATGTTGGGGATTCAAAATTGTACAAACAGAATAGCAGACACCCCCAGGCAGCTGAAGGACGTGGCAAAAATGGGGTTATTTGGCAATACTGTTTTTCAGTTATTTCCTCAGGTGGTTGGATGACACAATGAATAGTACACTTGACTTTCACCAAAACAGCCTGGGTCCCATTGAAAAGTCACTGGGTCACCTGCCTGACCACATGGGTTTCCACCAGGTACTACGGTTTCCTCTTGCATTAAGACCCCCTTCACACTACCATCCAGGCCACCATGAGTGATTAATATAAGTTAGCGGAAATTGTTTTATAGTTGCTGTAAAACAAAATTTATTTAAAGTAAATTCTCCTCTCGACACATTGAGATGAGAATCAGTCATATCTAGATCTGATTGGAGGCATTCTCAAGCCCATAGCCAATGCAGCCCTTAATATTATAACGTGTGAAAAATCAAATAACGCAAATTTATTTCAGAGATTTTAATGCAACATGGATTCGTAAGCATATTATAACACAAAAAAAAAGAAGCTATACTTGGCTGTTCTTCAGATAAATCTAAAATCAGAGCCAATAAATCACCTGCTACTATTTAGACATATATATGTATAAAAATCTAAAATCAATTTTAAAATACATCAAGTACTTATAAGATTTAAGGAACGATTGATAAAATTACGTATTTAATTGTGTACTTGAGTTCTTCATCAACCTTTTCTTTGGTAAGCTGATGATATCTTGGCTCCCTGTCCTACATAATTCTGAACGGTTCATTTTCAAGGAACATCATGATAGCTTGAAATCGATAAAAAAATGTTTTTGTGTCTTACTATCTTTAGACATGCACTTCAAATTTGGTGTTCGGCATCCGTTAGCATCTTACAACATGCTTGATTGATGAACAGAAGGTGAATTTTCTGAGTATGGAATGTATATTGTTTGTTGTAATAAAGAGAAATATAATGATATGGATTGATATGGAGAAGTTCAAAATAATTTTCAGTCAACAAAGACCTTACCGGTAAATGTATATATTTTTTTAAACAAAATAAATTAACATTTCAGATAGATAAATAAGTAAATTATATTGCTACAAGTTAGTATGATGTAGGTCTTCTTTCAGTTTTGTTAAATTAGTCAAAACTGGCCTTACTCTGTCTTCACTCTAGATCTGTTAAAGGATAAGCCTTGAATACATCTGGAGTCAAACCTGGTTTAGTGACCACCTGCCTAAAGTGACTACCTGCCTTAAATGACTTCCTGCTTGCAGCAAGCACCTGTCTCAAACAACCAATTTGTATTTGTCCCTAGACAGGTAGTTGTAAATAGGTTTTACTGTACTAGTAACTATAACATTAGGCAAATCCTTACTGAGAACCCTATATACGGTATGTGTTCCCATCATAGCTATACAGTTAGTACTGAACCAATGGTGTTTATCTGTCGATCATATCCAGTTGCACAACACCATCACAAAGCCATTTTTTGATAAACAACATCATATTAGTCATTGTGTACATATAAAGGCATAGCACTGATCCAAGGATATAGAAATCTTTGTCCAATCAGAGAAAATGTATTTTTTCATGAACAAATATTAAACAATTCTGCAATGAAATCAGGAAGTTCTATACATTTCCTCTAAATCTGCCAATGGTAAGAAGTCCTGACATTTCCTGAAGTGAAAAGTCAGCGTCTGTGAGTTAACTCATTCACCCCTGAAATTTCATAATGAACTATTCCAACCTTTGAATTGGAAGGGTTCAAATGTGTCTTCAGGGGTCAATGAGTTAATAGCAAATCACTTGTGAAAGCTAACTAGAAACCTAAATATATAGTTAGTATCATAAGAACATGGGTATGATGCATTTTTGAATGAATTATAATCTGTTACATTGGAAATTCATGTTTGAAGCCTTCCAATTATATAACAGGATATTTCAATGCAAGGATTAATAGGCCATAAGCTTTGTGCAAATTCAAAATTGAAATGGCCAAAAACATTTGAGAAATTATATAGATTTATAGGAACAGTGTAGTTTGAACTTCCTAATCACTGTCATATACTTAGACTGGGCCCCGTCTCTAGAATATTGAATTATTTAGAACAAAATTAAACGTCTGATACCAAGTCCTAAAACAAGGGGGAGAAAATTAAGGCAGTTGTAAAATGCAGTCAAGAAATTCTTCATAAAAACTTGGGGGCTGGTAGTCAGTCTATCATATACTGTACATTACATTTTACACCAGTAAAAATGTATACATGTCCATATAATAAAAAAGGATTAATGTCCATGTAAAGTAAGTAAATATAGAAAAAATAAGATTTAAAGACTGACTAAAAAACTAGCTGCTTTCACCATTCACAGAAAATAAACCTGAAGAGCCCTGTGAAGGGTGAAAGCAGCTAGTTTTTTAGTCAGTCGTTAAATCTTATTTTGTTTATGTCTATATATATATATATATATATATGGGCAAAGAAGTAATTCCAACAGTGTGGACAAGTTTAGGTTGTCAAATTTTCTGAGCAATCCACTCCTTTATCAAGACACAGTGAAACAGAACAGTTACATGTACATATACATCATATTACAAGAAGATAGAACTGATATATATAAGTCCAGTAATAATGATATTGGTTATATTTCATTTAGTGTAAATTTGTCAATACAGCTAATGGTGTATTCTGACTCAATCATACTATGATTATGATAAAATCACGTTGCTGAGAAAATAACTCCAACAGTATAAGAAACACAGAGGATTTCTACCCTAAAAGCTTGTATAACATTTATGACTACACATATTGGAGGAGTATGTAATATAAAATCTATTGCACTTCAGTGTATTGAGTATAGAAATAGGCATTATTAAAATAAACGTTTTAAAAACAACTGTACACCATATATAGAATGTTTTTATTATACACAAACATAACGGACATGGACGAGGGCAGACATATTGACTTGTAGAAAGGCAGGGATATGTTGGTCTACATCCTTCATCAACTAATATAAGAATGCTTAAATTCATGAAGTAATGCTTCAAAAAAATCTAATGATATACAATACAAATAAGTGATTTTATATATGCTGGTTTATCATAAAATGATAACATAATATACAAAACTCAAAGCAGATTTACTTCAAGTGTTAACATATCTCTAAAATTATCAGATGTACGGTCATTAACAGGTAGAGTCAATGTGATTACATACCCAGGTACCGTATTTATCTACCAATACGCCCATTTCTGTTTACAAGCCCAGCTAAATGAAATCTGTCAGCAGTTCCTACAGTAGAAATTCTAACAAATACTATTTTGTTGTGCTGTACCTGTAACAAGCCCACCCTTTATATTGAGTTGGAAGCTATGTGTTGACCATGGGTTTTTTATAGGGTAAAGACGGTAAATAAATACATTTGTACGCTGATGAGCACCTATAGGTTACAAAAAATGCTATATAGTATACACAAGTTTTATCAACAAATAAGGGATCTGTTTCTTAGAATAAATTTTCGGGTCTCGGGGAACAAATTTTCTAGACAGTTCATATCAGGAATTTATCTGGCTTACCTCATTGAAAAATGCTTGGAAAAAGGGACTTGTCGAGTGCCTAAATGGGTCCAAGAGGAACTGAATAAATTTTCAAGATCATGAGCAGGTTTAATATATGTTTTAAAATTAAATGTTTCTTATTGTACACTCATACGTTTATTTTCAAAAGAAAACAATCAAAATCTAGTAGGGTAAATATCTAATTTCAACATGAACAGAAATAAACTACAGTAAATAGCTTACATTAAAACTTAACCTCTCCTTAAGGTCTTTGAAAACCTTCATAAAAAACAACTACTGGTATATTTTTAATGTCTTTTAAATGTGAGTATGAATATAAAAGAGGAACATCTGATAACAACTATTTTCTTAGGGAGGATATCTTTAACTCATTCACCCCTGAAGACACATTTGAACCCTTCTAACTCAGAGGTTTGAGTAGTTCATTATGAAATTTCAGGGGTGAAGGAGTTAAACAGTACTAAATTTCCCCTTGATAAATAATACCCACATTCCCTCCAGCTCCCCCAAACAACATTGTCACCGAGACAAGACATAGTATGTAAAAAACATAATGAAAACATAATTATCACTAAATTGGAATGTTTCTCAACAACTTTTGCATCGAATAAAAATAATTCTATACATTTTTTACACAAGTAACATTAAAAATAATTGATATGAGGCAACAATAAGATATTTTATCAAACATAAAAGATAAAACTTCAAATAAAAATAAACCATGTAAATTAAATAATGATGTTGTGGTCCTTTACAACAGTTTAACAGGAATCACATTTGGTATTTGATGATTTCTTTCTGGAATTCATTTCACTTTTGACCTTGAAATCTTTCAATGCCCCAAAGTTGACCTTAAATCTGTCAAATGCAGCACTTTTTCTTCTCCACAATTTCATCCTTCAGTTGTAGGGCCTTCTCCATCTCTTCATCCTCCTTATCCTTCAGCAGGCTGCAAACATATCGTGGCTATTATCAGTAATGTCGTATGATTGTTTCATACATTAAAACACCTTTCATCTTTTTACATGGTAAAGTCAGCTCTATGCAAACATGTTATAATAATAATTTGAGGTTCCTATATACCGCTTTATCACAAAATAAATAAAAATAAATAAATATACAACATTTGATATAGCGCCCTATCTAGCTAACATAAGCCACTCTAAAGCGCTTTACAGTACATAGATATACTATTTAATACAGTCAATACAAATAGCATATATATTAATCAATACAATATTGAGGAATTCGCAGGAGCTGCCTTATCAGGCGCTAACTACTAGTCCTATGCCACCTGGCTAATATCTCCTTATGTGTGTATGCCTGTGTGTGTGCTTGTTCGTAGGTCGTCTAAAAGCGGTTCACAAATTATTATCTGTGGTTATAGGGCCTTTGCAACCAGCCAATACCTTTCTCAACTCCCTGAGCTGCCATTTTGGCGCTAACAGCTAGCATTCAACAATTCTAGCACTGCCCAATTGCAACCACATACTCATTTACAGCTGAGTAGACTGGAACAAGCGGAGTTAAGTATCTTGCTCAAAGATACAACACAGTGCCGTGCCTCGAACCCGCAACCCTTCGGTCTCGAGCCCGGCATCCTACCACTAGACTACCATGCCTCCATGTACTGAACACTCAGTCTACGCATACAATGTACAAAGTATCATGTTAATGTACCATAGGTAAATCAATGATCAGGTCCTCTTCAGGGTTCTATTTAAATGTCACAAAGGTAACTCAATGTTAGGACTTCCTTGTATAACGTTTATGTAATCCTGTATACCTTCAAAATAACCTTAAATAGTTTATCACTTGCATGGACATAGCAATAGCCATTTTTAGACAAAGAAAACATTTTCTTGATCTTTTAAAAGAATTTACTGGTGTTTATGTGTTTCTCCTTTGCAGAGAACCATAAAGAACAGTGCCAATGTCAATGTTGTATTTCCTCTTCCTAAACCATGCTGTGAACATCGTAAAAATAGTCTACTTGACCCACCATGTGACCATCAGGCCCTGTATTCATGAAACTACTCTTATCCTCACGTATGGATTCTGTGCTAAAGCCATCTTTCTTGTAACTCAGATAAGGTGTCACAATAAAAAAAGTCAAGTGTTAACATTGAAAGTTTAGTGAAATCTTCAGTATATAGTCTTTTCAGTTTCCATATTTTTTACCAAATTTAATTTAATTTATTACTTTATCACAGGAACAAGAAATTGGGTGTGAGCACAGGATGTGAGTTTGAGCATGAGAATGGTTCCTTGAATACAGGCCCTGTGTCTGACCCCTTTGACCCTGTTGTATTCGGGTACTTACTCAGCCATGGCAGCCATACTCTCCTGTACATTGGTCCCAGATTTGGCGCTGCACTCAAAAAATAAGGCTTCATATTCCTACAAATAACACAACACATCTCTCGGTCATTAGTCATCTACTAAAGCTTTGAACACATCTTCAAATGTAGTAAGTATAAGACTAAAATGACTTAAAGTCTGCTTTTCTCCTGGGACAAATTTTTAAGCAACATGAAAAATTTCTTACAGCTGAAAAAGCCACACATAAAAGTTTCCAGGAAAATTTGTATAAAAATTATATCTCAATTGAATTCTTCAAATTTCTATAAAAATTATATCTCAATTGAATTCTTCAAATTTCTATAAAAATTATATCTCAATTGAATTCTTCAAATTTCAATAACAAATTGAAGAAATAAATAAAATGAGGTAGACACATGTATTATAAATTTCAATTTGCTTGGTGTTAATCATCATCTCATAAAAAAGGCTGCACAGAACAAAGTAGGATATCCTAACAACATCATCTCATACCTCCTCAAACATGTTCACAAGTAAGTTGCATTGCTTGGGAAACAATATATCGTTATACAGATGGATTGATCAAAGAAATTGTAATTTGTTTTGAAAATATTGCAATTTTATACTTTTCGTTTATGTAACTGTTTGCATGAAATTCCAGCCTATATTAGATAATGCCATGCAGTAATTAAGAGATGGACAACACAGTTACTGACCAGGGCGAGTTTCTTGCCGTCGTTCATTCGTACAACACGTTTATCGTCCCCTTCTGTCATGTCTGTTTTGTTCCCTAGGATTTCAATCACTGTGTTGTCATTCACATTTTCCTGTCAAAAATAAATTCCTTCATTATTTAGTGAGGGCTGGTGTGTCAAGAGGGTTGAGGGGAAGGAGGGTAACATTGTAGAGAATGAGGGTAACATTGTAGAGAATGAGGATGAGGGTAACATTGTAGAGAATGAGGGTAACATTGTAGAGATTGTCATTGAGATGAAAGGGGGATGGGGGGACATTGTAGGATAGCCATAATTTGAAAATGATGTGCAAATCTTTCACAGCAAAACTCAATGTTTTCAAACCTTAACTGCTTTTGACGACATCATCTGGAACTGTACTGAGCAGTTTCTATTTTTTTCTAAAATGGAATCAACCTCTACTGCACCCCTGAAAAATGTCATGACAAAATCGAAGGCTCTTTTGAATGATTAAAGTAGATTAAGTTGATCCTTTAACATCAAAAGAATCTCGCAGCAGCCTAACAGTAAAATTGACTGGTTTTCTTCAAAAAGCAGATATCAGCCTATTGATTGGTCAGGTTTTTTTACCTGAAACAAATCAAATAGTAACCATGTGTCTTTGATTTTGATTTTGTCATGACATATTCCAGGGGTGCGGAAAACTAAAGTGAGTGTAACCTCTGGAATTTCGAGGATGCAAAAGTAATCAATTTATATTTTCTGTTCAATCAGTTATTACTGCTGTGTAATTCCCACACAATTCACGAACTCATTCACCCCTTAAATTTCATAATGAACTATTCCGACCTTTGAATTGGAGGAGTTCAAATGGGTCTTCCGGGGTGAATGAGTTAATATTTGCAGGTAAGATAAGTCAAATTAAAACCAAAGTATTGATTGATTTCATTTTATCAGATCATTTTAACAACAAATAACAGGTAAACCATATTTCCCTTTTCCTACCATTACACCAGTTTTACTGCTAAGATGACAGAAATCATCTTTGTGACCAGCTCAACAAACGGACATTACACAGAGACATTCCAAGCTGTGTTTTGTACCTTTATACTTGTCATCCAGTTTCGAACATTGATGAACGAGGTCTCGGATGTTACGTCGTACATAATGACCACCCCATCAGCCTTGCGGAAATACTGCTTTGTAATGCTGCGAAACCTGTAGATACAAAAGTCACCGTGTACTGGGTCCGATCGTTGGGTAAACATTGAAAATGACACCTAATGGTTTGAAGTAAAACAACTACATGTACCTATATGAGAACATTGAGATGTCTCTGGGTCATTTTAACATCTAAACATGCTAATTCTGTGTATCAGTACATAAAACATTTTCAATAAGATTCATCAGTTTGGAAATATGTGATATCAAAGTGTTACTTTCTACACAAATATGTGCGTATTAAACGTGTCACAACATTTCAAGACCAACTGGTCCCTTTGTCAAGCTATGACTGAGTGAGCAATTTGTATTTTTACCTGTACAACTAATTAGTGATGAAATTGTATATTTTTTTTATGTCACTCTACCCGGGATGTTTTGCCTATTGATAGGGAGTGTATACACACTGCATCAGATAGGTTACAGGTAGAGTGTAGATCTAGCCCCTGTTGTGTCAGTATCGGGTCATACAGATGACTCAGCTGGTGTCCCCCTCGTCTCTGTTCTTGTTCCGAGTTATTCTAATTTTGATTGCTTATTTGATTTGTCTCATATTTGTGTATTTGTTCCCTTTCAACTATCTTGGCAGTGTCCCAATTGAAGATGTGATTTTGGGTGTTAGCGTGATCTGTTAATGCCGATTTGTTGTACTGGGTGGCGGATGTTTTGCGTGTGGATCTGGTGAATGTGTCTCTACGTCCAGTTATAGGAGAAATTTGGTACACATCTGAAGGAACATCAGAAGGATGTAGAGAAAATGAGCAACATCACATTTACGTTTAATACATACATTGTTTTTGTAGAAAGTAAAATTTTGATATTACATAAAACATATTTTTTGTCTTATGCAGTACATTCTTAAGTCAAAGTCTCAATGTTTCAAATTTGCCCCGATGGTCCCGTAAAGTTTGAAATATGGAAGTTTGACTGTGCCTGTGTTTAGTTAGACTGAATTCAGGCTTTGTGATTGCTAATTACAATATCTAAATTAACATTTTCTTGTGATACCATTTGATGTTAGCTGGCGTTTTCAATGATAGAAGTCTCTAAAGACGTGTTTTAGGACAGTGTATTGGTAGCTGACCTTTCCTGCCCGGCAGTGTCCCACAACTGGAGCACGATGACTGTGTCCTTCAGCTGGATCATCTTCACCTGGAAATCCACACCTGTACAAAGTATCACCCACTGTTAACAGTTTGTACAGCATGCACTCCCATTATATATCTGTACGACTTCAGATGTAAAAATCATTGATAGCTTTAATTATGATTTTATAGGAATTAGGTCAAATGATAATGGGATTTATTCCCTACAGATTTTATAGAAGACAGGCTGCTAGAGTATAGGTACTTACCAATGGTGGGGCTGTTTGTTGTATCAGTACTTACCAATGGTGGCGCTAAAGGACGGGTTGAATGTGTTGTTACAGAATCGGTGAATGAAGCTACTCTTGCCCACGCCCGAGTCTCCCACAAACACGACCTTGAAAACTCGCTGTGAGGTCATCACAGGCTCGATGGCCTAACAACACATAAACATACACCTAATCATATGTGTACATACTAACATTCACTTGATCAAGTTTTAATAAATCTTCCTTGACATATTAGCACCAAGTACTGTGGACACAGCATGGAATGGGAAGAGGTTAATCATATATGCTATCATCTGGTAAAATATTTATGTAACTATTGCCATAAATGTGCAGGTCCTAAATCACTAAACTAATTCTTCATTGAATTTCCGAAGATTATTTTGGAATAACATTAATTCTGGATCAAAACAAGCATTATATGAATGAACTTGGTCCAATTGAGTTTTTACTTTTTAACGTAGGTTTTTCATAATTATTACTTTTCTGTGAATAAAGGTTTTTTATGTAATTTATCTCCCCTTAGTACTTACCTCTCCATCAGATTCCACAGCCCCTACAGGTTGTCCTCGTGGACCATTGGTCACCGACTCATCAGGGCTCCTACAAAACCATATTACAGGGCAAAGGTCACACACATTTCTTAAAGTCAAGGTCAGACGAAACCTTACTGCAGTTTGTTTATATTTTTCATGAGCTCTAGTTGGTGTCGGAGGGTGTGAAACTTGTTACTTTTATAAGTGGGCTGGATGAAACACATGCAAGTAACAGATCAAATAAGGGAATTCAGTTAAAAGAATCCATGCTTAAGAACCTTGCATCAGTGAAAATCATGCAATGCTATATCTAAAGTTGTGTATTAAATTCTGACTGACTCAGGTAAAAGTCTTGCCATTAATAGATTGCCAATTTCAGATTTTGCCAATTTCACATTTTGCCAGTTTCACATTTTGTTGATTAGTCTGAGAAATTCCCTTTTTTTTAATAATGAAGACTAGACAATGGTATTAGTGGTTAGTGTATTACTAGTACATTCGTATATGATTACTATGAAGTTATCTACTAGGACTTATTACAAGGTTAAAAGGCAGCGGTAAAAGTATAATACTTGAATAGAGATGTATCGCGGTACCGTGGAATGAAGCACCTGAAGCCAGCCCTCACCTTTACACATTAATGATGACAAGCCATGCTTCCTAAGCTGACAGGTGTATCCCGAGCTCCAGAGCCACCTCAGATATAAAGTATGATTACAGTACCATACAACCACCATCACCACATGTACACTTACAGGTCCTATTCCACTTCAACTGTATTCCACTCTGTGTGTCCTGGTTTGTTAAGATCAGGACAACAACACTAGTACCACAGTTATCCAGTTATATTTGCCATAGGAATAGAGCACAAATGTTTAATATGTGGCACATGTCCTTTGTCACTGACCACAAGGTGTGCATTCATCTGTCAAAGTGATCTGTCCATTCCACATTCTGACAAGATTTCATGCGCATAGGAAAGACATTTTAAAGCACAATTAGATGAGAGTGTCATATGCAGCAGAATAACTTCCATACAAACAGTCAATGCGCAGTACAATGGCTGGTTATACGAGTCTGTATATAGAATAATGAGTCCTGGAGTACAGTTTATGTAGCATCTGATTATACAGGCGGCACCAGGCATGATATACATACACAGCTCGATAAATAGTGACATGCATACACTTGTCAAGGAGCAAAAAGCTACTTGCTCTTTTGAAGGTGCTCCGGAATTGGCCCCTTCATTATCATCATCGAGAATGTCTCCAAGTTCACCACGAAACGTGACCTCCTCTCCTTCCCATGTATCCAAGATAATGCCACGGGCAAAGGGAACACTGGGTAAAATATAGGACAGACTTGAGAAAAGCGATTTCTTTTTCGTTTTTTCCGGAACAACAGATGGTTTTTCTTCACTCATTATTTCAACCTTTGTTCCAGAGACAACTGCTGTGTCAGGAGTTGCTTCCTTTTGTTCTTCTTGACCCTGTTGGATTACATGGAGTTTTGGAGTGATGCCTTGAAGACTTGATTCTCTACTCACGGCCGATTCCTCTGTTATTTGGGGAGAGGCCAAGGTGTGTGGCGGTTTGTAGATAGTGCCGTCACTGTCCTGGAAATGAACAGATTTGTTTCCTTTTCTGTCCACAACCTTCCCATGACAATGGTCCGGTATGGAGTTCACACGAGAGGACAGGCTCCCATCGAACACTCCATTTGTTTGGGCTGTTAACCGAGGAGATCGGAACATGGCCTGTGATGAAAGGTCGCGACCTGATGGTGTGTGACCCTGCAGCCCAGAGGTCGTTAGGGTGCCGTACAGAGGCTTGGATTTGTTGTAAGGCATAAAGCTGTAATACTTGGGCTCTGGGTAAGACAAGACTGTGCTCTCTAGAGCTTCTCTGGTCTCTTCCATTCTTGTTTGCTCATCACAACCTTCAAATTTGTTAGTGTATATGATCATGGTTGTAGAAAATGTATCATCTTTATCCTCAGTATTTTCAGTATCAGAATCAGCATCTGGTTTCATTTGAAATGAAGCCACACCTGTTTTTCCTTGCTGATCTTTGATAGATATATCTATAGAAACATTGTCGTCAGTGGACTTGGTCGTGTCTTTTTCCTCCTCAGTTATACCGGTGTCTGCTTTTCCTTGGACACCCTTGTCTTGTTCATCCACCTCTGATAAAACCTCCTCTGGAAGTTTGACCTCCAAAAAGGACAAAATCTTGCTATCAATAATTTCCGATGAATTATTTTCTGTGTTAAACTTCCTATTGATGCTTGTATCATCATTCATTTGATTTGTTTTAACTCCAGGGGACTGACTTTCTACTGGGACTGTGTACTGTGTATTCTTTGTTTCAACCTCTGGCTCTGTAGCAGTTTTAAGATACAAATCTGCAGCTGGTTTGTTAGGTACATCCTTCAAATCTGCGTCTGTTTCAGGACTTTCAGGAACAGAATCTAAAGCATCCTTCAGATCCATATAGGCGGGTGTGTTACTTGTTTCAATACTTTCAAGAACTTGTATCGATTCTAGACCAGCTTTCAGATTTGTGTATACAGCATTATTGTTTGTACCAGTGTCTGCTACGGTGGAGCTTGGACTTGATTTAGTATCAACAGGCCCTTTACCTTTTGGTTCAGAAAACTGTCTGTCTCCGGCGACTTTTACAGACAACTGTTTGTCATCCATAACCTCCACTAAGTCTAACGCAGACTGCAGATCCATTGTGACACCCAAAGGGGATTGGAGATCTGCTGTAGACTGAAGACCTTCAGACACCACAACAGAATTCAGAGTTGTGCTGACTTCCCGGCTAATATTGTCAGCCACTTCCCGAGAACCTGATGGCATAGCCTTCCTGACATCCACAACAGAATTCAGAGTTGTGGTGATTTCCCGGCTAATATTGTCAGCCACTTCCAGAGAACCTGATGGCATAGCCTTCCTGACATCCACAAGAGAATGCTCATCTGTAGTATCTACAACAGTAGTGTGAAGATCATGTGTTGCTTGAGCAGACTGGAGATTTCCATCTACCTCTGTGGTGGAGAGACTCTCCATATCAGCAGGTACGGCAGTCTTAATCTCTTTAGCAACGGTAACATTTGTCTGAATCTCCTTAGCAACCTTTACTGAAGTCTGAATCTCATTTACAGCAGTTTCATCAGTCTGAAACTCTCTAGCAAAAGCAGCAGAAGTCTGCAGATCCTTAACGACAGTAGTAGAGGTTTGAAAATCATCAGTAATAGCAGCAGATGTTTCAAGATCCTTTGAGACCATATCAGATGGTTGGAGACCATCTAAATCAGACAATGGCAGGCTGTCTGTAGACTCGAGGTCTGGATGGACATCCATCTTACTCTGACGGTCTAAATCAGACAATGGCAGGCTGTCTGTAGACTCGAGGTCTGGATGAACATCCATCTTACTCTGAAGATCCACCAGTGATAGTTCTTTTCCATTTTTCAGCTTTCTGCTTGTTTCTTCTCTCAAAGTGGCATCAATTTCAGTTTCTCTTTGTTTATTTTTAGCACCAACTGTTCCACGTTTAACTTGCACATCTTCTCTACTCGTATCTTTGCTATGATCCATCAGGTCTGCTTCATTTTTTGTTATTTGGTCATGTGTCTCATCAAATCGGACATCTCTTTCAGGGATATTTTCTTCGTCTTTTTGTTCTGTCGTATCCTCCCCTACTCTCCCTAACCTGACAAATCTAGTCTTAGTATTGTCTACAGTCACATCTGTTTCTGACTTTTCAGCACTTCTAATTGACGTCACATCTGCAAGTTGATTGGTTGTATCTGTTTGGTTTTCTGAGACCTGATTGGGTGTATCTGTCGTTTTCTCTGAGAGTTGTGTGACTGTTTCTGTTGTTTTCTCTGTAATCTGATTGGCTGTAACTGTTTTTTCTACGAAGAGCTGATTGGCTGTATCTGTGTTCTCCAAGAGTTGATTGGCTGTTTTCTCTGAGAGCTGATTGGCTGTATCTGCTGTTTTCTCTGAGAGCCGATTGGCTGTATCTGTTGTTTTCACTGAGAGCTGATTGGCTGTATCTGTTGTTTCTATAGAAAGCTGATTTGATGTGTCTGTTGTTTCCCTTGACAGTTGATTGATTGTAACAAGAGCAGTTTCATCTGTAGTAATTGAGCTCTGACCAGGAGTATTGATGGACTCTTCCAAACTCGGGTTGTCTTCTTTCTGAATGCCTCCAAGAACATCTCTGATTTCTCTACTTTCCTCTTCACTACCTAGTGTTGGATATGGTGCCTGTTTATCATTTCCATCCAGATCTGTAAGCTGATTGATTGTGCCATGTTTTTCCCCATCTAAGGGTCCTGCCATCTTCTGTGTTTCCTCTGCACCAATGTTATTTTTATCTTTGTTTTCCACTGTTACATTTGTTCCTTCAGTACCAATCCACTTCGCTAGCTCTTCCTTGTCACTGCCTTGCTTTGCCTTACTATTCACTGTGGCCATTATTTCACCAGGAGAACCAGCATCTTCCTCCACACTCTCTCTTCTGTCGGTCAGTTCTGTATGACTTGTTACCCTCTTCCCTTCACCCTTGGCCTCCAAAGAACTGGGTTTTCTATAAACGGTCTGTGGAGCTGCCGATTCCTCTATATCCTCCCCAACTTTTACATCACTGCTTACTGAGTGCGTTTCCGTTTCTTCCCCTGGCTCATTAGTCACTTCATTGACACTGTTTTCCTTGACCAGATCATTGATGTCCACCTGTTCGTCTGTGACGGAGTACTTGTAGTTCAGCTCCACAGTCGTGTCAATCTCAGAGTCCTCCTCTGATGAGCTCTTCGATACAATCACCTTTTCTTTCATCTTACTCTCTTCCAGTTGCTCCTCTAAATGCTGTAATGTTTTGACATCCATTTTCTCACTGGAATTTCCTTGTAATTTTTCTGTGATATGTTCGCTTTCCGTCATTTGTTCATCCAAATTTTTCTGTAGTTTATCTCTTTCCTTCCCCTTAGATTCCCTTACCAATATTTCATTTTCTGTGATTTCTGATACTTTCTCACTATTATCAATTGTCCTAGCTCCTGGTTCTTGCATTGAATCTATAATTCCTATTTCCTTTAAATTTCCCAGAACATGTGTCTCAGATCCTTCTCTTCGCTCAACTTGGAATTTCTCATTTACCTCCACAATGGCATTTGTTGTCAACACAACTTCAACATTTTTTCCAGGTTTTTCCAAATTGGGATCTGATGATTCCTTTTCCATCATAGCTACTTCCTTTTCAGGTTTCTCTTTTGGTTTCCTAACCAAAGTGTCTTTTGCTTTTACCTCCAATATATCCTCAGACTTTTCAACAAACAGCTCCTTTGATTCAATCACCTGTTGTTGCTCTAGCTTACTCGACGATGTCTCAACAGATTGATCTGACAATTCCTTTGTCTCCCTACCAAACTTCTCAGATTTTTCCTTGGGTTTCCTAACTAACGTTTCTTTTGGTTTTACCTCCAATATATCCTCAGATTTTTCAATAAACAGCTCCTTTGAATCAACCACCATGTTTTCCTCCAATTTCCTCAATGGTGTTTCTACATATTGATCTGATGTTTTCTTTTCCTCCACACCAAACTCCTCAGATTTTTCCATTGGTTTCCTAACTAACGTTTCTTTTGGTTTCACCTCTAAAATGTTCTCAAACTTTTCAACAAAATGCTCGTTTGATTCAATCACCTTATTTTGCTCTAATTGACTCGTTTGCCGTGACGTATACATCGCCTGGCTATCATTTAAGTCATCCTGCCCCTGGGTATCCACATCCAGCTCCCCAACATCAGGATCCCTGGCAGAGATTTCTCCATCTCCATCAGAAGTGCTATCTATGCTAGCGCTTGACCTGGGCAAGCTAGGAGAGAAACAGGTTGGTGTAAGAACAAACAGATTTTTTTGTTAATGATGTTAGTACAGCTGTAATTTTAAATAGTTTGTGTCCGTGATTTCTTCAAAAATAGTGATTTATTTTAAATATTTCATCAATATCAAATATTAATCTAGATTGTAGCCGTTGTTACTATAGCATGGGCCCTAAATGACTTACAATGTAGATGGGCAGTTAAACAATTTTTTTAACTTTTTTTTTTACTATAGCAATGGTTACTTTAGAAATTCCCAACCATAACTACTGTAACTAAAGTTACTGTAACCATGGCTACCATTATCATAGTAACTGTTACCATGGCTACCATTATCATAGTTACTGTAACCATGGCTACCATTATCATAGCAACTGTTACCATAGATACTTAAGAGATGGGATTTTATGTTATGGTTATGCTTTAAAGTGGTTATATGGACAAAAAAATACAGTTTAATATCTAAAACATAATGTATTTTTTTTTTTAAATCCCAGGTTTAATAATTTATTCGGCAAATCTAGTGCTTAACAAGAATCACATATAAAAACACTTGTTAATAATTTTTGAAATGAGGATATCTGTGAACTTGTTACATCGAAATTGTCGAAAATGTATAAAAAGGTTAAGAGAAACAAGATTTTCAAGAAATCCAGGTTTGTGAGATATCTAGGTTGAGTTTTCTCCAGATATCCAGATAAATGAGATATCCTGGTTAAAACAATAGCGAAAAAACAGTTATTGGACTGAAAATACAACAATGTAATACTATTAATTAGGTACTCACTACAAATTTACCATTACCCCTACACTCATGCAGCACAACCCAGAGCCTATTACCATTATAGTGACTACATCAGCTAGCTTGATCTGAATAACTCAATGGTCAAATGAAGTGTTAACTGTTTGCCTCAAATTTCACAAATGTTTGTAAAATTGCATCTTAACTCGTTTTTTAAATTATCCAGTAAAATGAATAACGATACAATTTCAGATCAAGGAAGCCTCCCTACCACAGATATTCTCAACCCCACCAAACACGCCCCACCAAACACGCCCCACCACCTGTTCTGAAAACTGGCCTACCTGTCTTGCCGTGACTGGACAGCTACTGTTCCAGGGAGCAGCCTTCGTTTCGTTTTGCGCACTTTACGACTCCTTCCGGAAGACATATCATTTGGGCTTTTCTCATCCGAATCACCCTCACTTGTGTTGCCTTGACTACCACTGACCTTCCGTGATTCACTGTTATGACCGTTATGATGATATGACACATTTCTAGATTCTACTATGTTTGATAATGTATTATAATTACTACTTCTAATCTGACCCTCCTGGTCATCGTCATAATCCACTTCAATGTCATCATCCTCCTCTACATCTGGTGTGTCCTCGGATACCGACTCCCCGAATGATGGTTGCCCCCTACAACAAAGAACACAAGTAAGAGGAGCACCAAAGTTTCTTAGTAGGGTATAATTAACAAGAGGCCCAGGGGCCTTTCTATATCTCCCGCTTTTTTCTTTTTCTTTTTTTTTATCAAAAGAGTACAATACATATGAGAACAGGTAAAAGAATGCTGAACCACAAGTAGTTTGTAGTTTTGCGTGTGTGTGAGTGCATGTGTATGTATATTTCATGTTAAATGCATTGTAATTATAGAAAAAAAAAGACTTGAAAAATAAAATTACAAAAAAAAACAAGAGGCCCAATGGGCCTGCATCGCTCACCTGGTATAAAACTCACACTTGTAACCTTAAAAGTGATCTAAAATAAAGCTACAGGCAAAATGTCAGTATTTATGATTAAAATTCGTTCAAAAGACCCTGTTATTTTTTTTAAAAACATTTCACCCCTGTGATTGAAAGTTGAACACATTGTATAGCCTTTCATCTCAGGATGCAACTTGCAAAGTATAAACATCCTGGGACCCATGATTATTCATAAGAGGTTGTTTAAAGATTTTAAACAAATTTGACCCCTGTGACCTTGAATATAAGTCAAAGTCATTCACTTTAACAAACATAGTAGTCCTTGATCCTAGCATATGCTACTAACTAAATATCAACATCCTGAGCCTTTTGGTTATTCAGAACAAGTTGTTGAAATATTTTAAACATATTTGCTCCTTGTGACCTTGAATATGATTCAAGATCATACATTTAAACAAACTTGGTAGCCCTTGATCCTAGTATGCTACTGACTAAATATCATCACCC